AGGGGGCACGACACAGCGCGTCCAGGTCTGTATCAGCTCTGGCCTCAAATGCCTCACCACATTCACTCTCTGCCTATGGAACTTCAGGAAGGCCTTGCTGGCCTCCTCTGCTTTCCCTGGGAACAGCTGGGGGTCCTGGGGGGCCCAGTCTAGTCAAGAAGCAATACGAGAAGACATGTGGAGAAGCTGTTTGCTTCCTCCTTGTCTGAATGCCACAGCAGTACAAAGACCAGCGTTCCTCTCATCACTGCCCTTGCAAAGACCCTCCAAGTGACCCTATTTTCCAGAGACAGTCCCAGATTTACAGAAGCTGCCCCAGTTTCTGATTTGATCCCATAATGTCCTGCTTTTCCTTAGGACGTCCCTATTTTCATAAGAGAAAGTTTGTAAGGTATGGAGTTATCCAACCCCCCAAGCAATCTGAAGGCATCCCTGTATAGGTTAGTTTTTTAATGTTTAATGTTTTATTTTGTTTTTATATATGTTGGAAGCTGCCCAGAGTGGCTTGGACAATCCAGTCAGATGAGTGAGGTATAAATATTATTATTGTTGTTATTGAATAGGATGTCCCTATTTTCCTTGGAGAAATGTGGATGGCATGTCCTTAATGGGAAGCAGAGCAGAGCTCAGGAAGGCTCAGACTATGGCTGGTCTTGACCAAACAGCTGTCCTTTCCAGCTTCTCCCTTCATCCATTTCTCTCTGGTTATCTGCAGCAATGTATGCACAGAGGATACGGCCCCATCTCAGGCTGCAACCGTCTGGCTCCTGCTGCTCTCAAGCAGCCGTAAACCACCAGGCAGATTTTCTAAAAGGCTGAGGCCCTCGCACCATCACGTGGGAGAAAAATGCAAGAGGAAAGGAAACTTAAAACCTGCAATTTGCCACTGCCCAACATACAGATGCCTCACTGGGAGGAAACAAGCCAGCTAAAAACAGGGTTGAAAAGCGCAGTGCACTGTAACTAGTCCCACATCGAAAGCACCCCCTGGCCTGCCCCACTTGGGCAAACTCACGTGACTTGTTACAGCAGTGAAGCAGAGAACACAGACAACATGGTTTTGGAAACAAAATGGAAGCATGAAAACCACATTATTACTGGAAAGAACCCTGCATGCATGTGAGCAGCAACCAAATAAATAAGGGGGAGGAAAAATGAGGTGATGTTAAGCTAGTTCTAGGAAGTTTGCAGGGAGGTGTGAGTACAGTGAGAAGGGAATTTGGAAGGGCTCCGCTGTGTTGGCTTTTTGCTGTTAGCTTCTATGTAGAATGTAGATTTTTTCAATTTCGTTGTTCTGTATGGGACAATGACAATAAAGATTATTGTATCGTATCATATCATTCTACCCATCTCTGCTATTTTGCCTTGTAAAAACTGTTTTCTGTTTACTTAAACCTCTGCAGTTGTTTAACATTACCATTTTCCTCTCAATGTCTACATGCCCCTGCTTTACTCTAACTTTTTTTCCTTTCACTGCTTCTCCCTTTTCACTGCACTCAAACTTCTCCCTCTTCCATTCCTCAACCCCTTCATGTGAGAGAGATAAGGGATGTGGAGTCCTCAAATATTCCATAGCACCGTCACATAATGTATTTCACTCCTGGTGATTACTAAATGTAGTAATGTGGAACAGATAATTTAACAAGCAGAGACCCATATATGTAGAACAAGCAAGAACAAGGCATGGAAAGGGGAGCAATATGTGTGTGCAAGGAGGAGCTGAGAAAAGTGGGGGAGGCATGGACCAAGGGATAAAGGTGAAAACTGGAGCACAGCGTGGCTGCAGAACGGAAGAGAGAGATGGGGTTGGGAAAGTGGAAAATGAACTCACCAGTTGCAGAAGGCAGGAAGCTCTTGGGGGTTGATATGGGAGAATGAGAGGGAGGCTGGTGAGGGGAGCAAGTGCAGCCCCTACTATCATCCTATTTGTTACAGATCTGGAATCAATACCAATTTGGAGCCTCTCAAAAGATGATATAAAGCATCGGTAGGCAAACTAAGGCCCAGGGGCTGGATCCGGCCCAATCGCCTTCTCAATCCGGCCCGCAGACGGTCCGGGAATCAGCATGTTTTTACATGAGTAGAATAAATGCATCTCTGGGTTATTTGTGGGGCATAGGAATTCGTTCATTTTTATTTTATTTTTTTCAAAATATAGTCCAGCCCACCACATGGTCTGAGGGACGGTGGACCAGCCCCCTGCTGAAAAAGTTTGCTGAGCCCTGATATAAAGCAATAGCAGGTTTCCAAATGGGGAAGGATCATAATCATTTCACGGTTAAAGCTCTTATGACCCAAAGTTCAATGATTCCATAGTTAAAGACTTTGGAAAAGTATAAAGGCCAATAGGCACAGATACCAAAATCTTAACCAGACTTTTATAAAACAAGATACCAGACCTGAACAAGTAAAACAATATCTTATGGGCATAGACTACAGGCTGGGGAGTAATCCCCTAGAAATCTGGGGAAATCTATAGGAAACTGCATATAGACTCCCTTTAAATACTGTATGGAGTAAGAGAAAATTTCTCTAAGATCATGAGTAGGTGGTGCATTGTCCCAATGAAGATAAAAAATTACCCACCCACTTGTTGAAAATGCCAGGGGTGGTTTTCACCCATACACACACACACACACACACACATATAGTGGAAATGCGAGATGTCAAAAATACTGCAGGAAAGATATTTCTAGATTTGTTTGGCAGGGCAAGAAGCCTCGAATAAAATTTAAGATATTAACTGATGCTAAAGAAAGAGGGGGATTTGCCCTGCCAGACCTTAAACTTTACTATGAATCAGCTGCTTTTTGTTGGCTGAGAGAATGGCTGCTTCTTGAAAACACTGACGTGTTGGACCTAGAAGGCTTCAATAATGCATTTGGTTGGCATGCATATTTGTGGTACGATAAGGTAAAAGTACATAAAGCGTTTAAAAATCATATTGTTAGAAAAGCATTGTTTAATGTCTGGATAAGATATAAAGATTTGCTAGAAAAGAAAACCCCAAGATGGTTGTCACCAATGGAAGCGAAGGCACAGAAAAAACTCAATATGGAGGCCAAATGGCCGAAATATTGGGAAATTCTGGAACAAGATGGAGACAGACTAAAATTGCAGAGTTTTGAAAAATTGAAAAATAAAGTGTGAGATTGGCTCCATTATTACCAAATAATGGAGGCATACAATCTGGACAAAAAAGTTGGTTTCCAGGTGGAAAAATCAAAATTGGAAACAGAACTGTTAGATCCAAAAATCAAGAATTTGTCAAGAATGTATAACTTCCTGTTGAAATGGAACACTCAGGATGAAACAGTGAAATCAGCTATGATTAAATGGGCACAAGATGTTGGACATAATATAATGATGGCTGACTGGGAACAGTTATGGACCACAGGTGTGAAATTCACGGCATGTAATGCCTTAAGAGAAAATTTAATGAAAATGATTTACAGTGGTGCCTCGCAAGACGAAATTAATCCATTCCGCGAGTCTCTTCGTCTTGCGGTTTTTTCGTCTTGCGAAGCACGGCTATTAGCGGCTTAGCGGCTATTAGCGGCTTAGCGACTATTAACGGCTTAGCGGCTATTAACGGCTTAGCGGCTTTAAGAAAAAGGAAACAAACTCGCAAGAACTCACAAGACGTTTCGTCTTGCGAAGCAAGCCCATAGGGAAATTCGTCTTGCGGAACGACTCAAAAAACGGAAAACTCTTTCGTCTAGCGAGTTTTTCGTCTTGCGAGGCATTCGTCTTGCGGGGCACCACTGTATAGGTGGTACATGACACCAGTCAAGCTTGCAAAAATTTACCATTTGCCCGACAATAAATGTTGGAAATGTAATGAGACTGAAGGCACATTCTTTCACCTTTGGTGGACATGCCCAAGGATTAAGACATACTGGGAGATGATCTATAATGAAATGAAAAAGGTATTTAAATATACCTTTCTGAAGAAACCAGAGGCCTTTCTCCTAGGCATGGTCGGCCAATTGGTGCCAAAGAAGGATAGAATTTTCTTTATGTATGCCACAACAGCAGCAAGAATTCTTATTGCAAAGTATTGGAAGACACAAGATCTACCCACCCTGGAAGAATGGCAGATGAAGTTGATGGACTATATGGAATTGGCGGAAATGACTGGCAGAATCCGAGACCAGGGAGAAGAATTGGTGGAAGAAGACTGGAAAAAGTTTAAAGACTATTTACAGAAATATATTAAAATTAATGAATGTTAGAAAAATGTTGGAATGAAATTATATGGCTTTAGTAGAAATGTTATAAGGAAATAAGTATAAATAGATTAATAGAGTATTAAAGGAAAAATAAGGTTAGAATGTGTTAAGATAATTATAGGATAGAAAACAGAGGAAGATGGAAAGGAACTGCTGAAACAATTAATAGAAGTGGAATACAAAAAGGGAGGTGTGAGGAGGTCGTGGAAATAAGTGAATGAAAGATGGGATAATGAAATTGTTTGATTTATTTTAAACTGTTTTTGTTTTGTTTTGTTAGTTTAATGTGTTTAATGTGTCAATGTTATGTAGTGTTCTTGTATTGTATTGTTTTGTATTGTATTGTTTTTGTAGTGTTTAAATCGTTGGAAAAGCAATAAATATTAATAATAAAAAAATACTGCAGGAAAATTAAACATTAATTAACAAGGATTATAGACTATGAAGTCCCATTTCATCCAGCATTCTTTTTATTACATTATACGAAATGATCAGTTAGACCAGAACATAAAGAACGAGCCCATTAGACGTCAGCTGTAGCCAGAGTACTTTTTGCTAATGACTGGATAGAATCAACAGTGTCATTCAATGTTTTATTCATTTAAAGTTGGCTGTGTTTTTCTGATCTTAGATTAAATGTTATAATGTTCTAAAAACTAATAAGTGGCACAAGATACAAAATTGCTTTCTTTACTACAGGTGAAACTCAAAAAATTAGAATATCATGGAAAAGTTCATTTATTTCAGAAATTCAACTTAAAAGGTGAAACTAATATATGAGATAGACTCATGACATGCAAAGCAAGATATGTCAAGCATTTATTTGTTATAATTGTGATGATTATGGCGTACAGCGTACATTGCTTTGCATGTCATGAGTCTATCTCATATATTAGTTTCACCTTTTAAGTTGAATTACTGAAATAAATGAACTTTTCCATGATATTCTAATTTTTCGAGTTTCACCTGTAACTATAATTGCATTATCAGGCTGCTTGCTGGTGATCAATGGTTAATATTTATCGGAATTACTAAGAATGGACTTCTCTCTGTGTCATTTTATTTAACAGATTTAAGAGAATTGAAAAGGATGTGCCTATTTTCTTGGAAAGCCTGGCCTTTTCAGAGTATCTCAGGAAGCTCAGCTCCTAGCAAGCATTTCTAAGACAGTTGCATGAGGCTGGGAGTGAGACTCCTGCACTGCAGGGGATTGAACCAGAAGACCCTCAGGTCCCTTCAAACTCTACAATTCTATGATTCTATGATCACAAATGTATCAGCCGGCCTGGAAGAAGAGGCAGCAAAGGAGGGAAGGAGGGAGGGAGGATTTGCAATTTTCAAACAATTAATTACCTATGTGGCAGAAATGCAGGAAAGGATAAGTGTCCCACTGGTTTCCAGAAACATTGTGTTTATCCTCCTCTTCCTCCTCCTCTGTTTCACCACCTGGCAGCAGAGCAATTTTCTTTTGTGTAAGGCTCCCTATGAGCTACCTCTGGCACGCCTGTGCGTGGACCTGAGCTTCAGTTGCAGTGTGGTGCTGACAACGCCAAGGTTGCAGGTCTGATCCCCATATGGGACAGCCGCCTATTCCTGCATTGCAGGAAGTTGGACTAGATGATCCTCAGGGTCCCTTCCAGCTCTACAATTCCATGATTCTCATTGGCGAAATCTGGCCCTGGAAGACGACATGAACAGAGAGGCAGGATCGGACCATCCACAGCAATCTCACAGGAAGATGCCAGACATGGAGATGCACAGCCGTGGGGCAGGCAGAAGACCCCCGGTTCATTCCCCAATGGCACCTCTGTGTAGGTGGGCATAGCCCCACCTGAAACCTTGGAGGGCTGCTGCCAGTCCGTGGGGACAGTGCTGAGCCTGGTGGACTAACGGGCTGCCTCTGTCTATATTCCATTCCTATTACAACTCTGGTTTTACAAAGGCACTGCCAAGCCCAGAACCAGCCTTGATGGGGCTTTGCGCCCATGAAACGTGGGAGGAAAGGGGCTGGGGAAGGCCCTGCGGTGTCTCTGAGAAATCACTCTGAAGTCTCACACTTACAGAACAAAGCACACACGCCACATCTATTTTCCCTGGGAGAGTACAAAGCACCAGTGTGTCTGGCACACCCCCACCCCACCCCCACCTCATTCCAAGCCCAGTGCCAATCGGTGGAGTGTCTGCAAGGGATCGGTCTCACATCACAGCAAGAGAAAATCTAAACTCTTTGGACAAAGAAAGCGGCTTATCAGACTCTTCTCTGGCAGACTTGCTGTCAGACTGACAGGATGGAGAACAGCTTGGGGGCACAATTGGATCAAGCTGCAAAATGTAGCCTGAAATGTGTGGGTCTCACTCCCCTCCCTGCGTCTCTTCAGTGACACAGCAGGACAAAGGGAAATGGAAAGATAATGTGCAGAGAGGCCTTGGGGACCGGCCCCTCGCACCTGGGGAGGCTGAGAGACCCCTCCTGAGCCAGACCCCTCCGTTTCCTACTATTTGGAGCAGATTAATAGCCTTCATATCACCAGAGTCAGTGGAGTAAAACTTGGCCCTTGTTGCCATGGAAACAGAAGCACAGTCTCAGACAAACATTTATGGGAAACCTGCCATTTCCTTCAAGAGCAAAATAGAAAGGAAGCAAAAGCCGTCGCCCCCCCCCCCCAACCTATGGCAGAAAAAAATTGCCCTTGCTTTCTCCAGAGAGAGAGCTAAGAAGAGCCTGTCCAGGGCTTCTCTGCTCAGCAGCCCTGGGCACGCAGCCGCACATGCAGCCAAGGAAAGAGTGGCTTCCTCTCTTGCACAGCGGCCTCAGGGATGAAGAGCCCCTGGTCCAAGAGGAAGGCAGGCTGCTTCCTGCCAGGGACTGGCCCTTTCACAGCTCGTGCTGGCAGCTCAAGGCAGGCAGGACGGACAGAGGAGGAGTTCTCCTAACACAACGTTCCTCGCTGCCTCTGGAGCAAAATCTGAAGCCGAGAAAACCCTCGTCGTGTTTCGTCCCACTATGAAGGCATCACAATCCATCTGGCACAAATTCCAATGCCCATCAGAGCAAGAGAGATGCCCCAGCCTTGCAAAGCAGCTGACAGCATGGGAGAGTCCACACCAGGCATTTATTCCAGAATGGCCAGGCTTCGTTCACTTGCTTTTTATAGGGCAACTACACAAGGTTGTCAAGATACTGTCCTTATCCTGTGCTTTTGGGCCGAGGGGGCTCCTTTTAGGAGCTCAGAACATCCAACTTTTAGGGGGAAGGGGAGAGAACAAAATTGTGATTCCTGTAGCAGGCCCTCCCAAGAGGTCAGAAGAGTGGGGCTGAGGAGATTCCACTTGCACCCAGAAACCCATTTCACACATGACCTGAGCCTTTCCTACCTATCCTCCCTGCTTCAGGAGCCGCCAGGGCAGGCGCTGGGAGATGCTGGGTTCTGGGTACTGGAGGGGGTCACAGAGGCAGGGGAGCCACAAGATAAATGCTTGCATTCCCCCACCCACCCACAAAGAAGGAGAGCTGCCTGTTGCAAGTCAGGACGATGGTGGCCAGGGAGTCAGAGCAAGCGGGCTAGGAAGGAATGGGAAGGCTCCGTAGGCAGCAAGATCAAGAGAGAGAAAGGCAGGCCCCGTGCACCAGGTGTCCGTGTTAATTGCTGGGTAAAGACAAGGGTAATCTCACTTCATTTTTGACTACTGCTGTTCATTCAGAGCAACAGCACAAATCTGCGTGTGTGTCTAGAGCAAGGAAATGGAAACCAGAGCAAGGTCTCTCTGATCAAGAGCTCAACCTGGCAGTGAGCCCCCTTGGCGCCACGCTGGAAGGGAGAGCAAGGGAGAAGAATGGCTAGAGGGGGGAGCCCTTGCCCACTCTGGGCCTGGCTGACCCCCACGAGCAGGAGCAAGACCCTCAGGGGCCCCAAGTTCCACTTGGTGAGCAGAAAGGCAGCATAACCTAAGAGCCCAGGAAGTGGAGAAATGGCTTCTTCTTCATTCAGCAGCTAAATAGAATTCCATGTACACGTTAGTCGTGACCATGCACACATAGCACAGTCCCCTTCGCAAGACTCTGCAATGCGGGGGGGGGGGAGGTGAGAGCCCTTCCCCCAAGGCCTGAAGCAAGCCGAGTAATGGAAACTTTTTGGAGAGCAGCATGCCCAGGAGCCTGATGGAAAGTGTACCAAGTGTGACTCTTAGAAGGACTAGCAGATAGCTGTGAATGCCCTAAATACAGACAGGACTTGGAAAAGCATGGGAACTATCCACAGGAACTTCAGAAGCCAGAGGGAAAGGTGCCAGGCAAAAACCTTCCTCTTCAGCCAGACCTTTGGCTGAACAACATCCTGTATCCTTTTAAATGTGTTTGTGGAAGGTAGGTTTATCGGTTTGTTTTGCTCTTGTTCCTGTTTCTATTGAGTTTTGTGTTTTTATCTTGTATTTTTATGCTGTGAACCACCCCGAGATCTTCAGATCAAGGGCGGTATACAAAATGAATAAATAAATGAAAATTACAGGGGCCAGAGAAGGTGAGGAGCCACCCTCCCTCACCCCTGGGCAGAGCACACAGCCCTGCTCTCTCCCTCTGGCAGAAGGCAGCAAGCCAGGGAAGGCCGTGCATCTGGCTCTCACGGACCTCTGCTGCGGGAGCCTTAGGTGCCCAGTTGTGCGGACCCTACCTTTGGCCACTTGGGGTTCAGGAGGCGTGCCTGGATGGCGTCATCGAGGGCTTGGTCGTACTGCTGCGTCTTCATGTACGCTGCCGAGCGGTTGCTGTACAGGATGCAGTTCTGAGGATCGACGGCCAGAGCTTCGCTGTAGAGCACAATGGCCTTGTGGAAGTTGCCCTCGTGGCAGGCCTGGTTGCTCTGGCGCACCTTCTCAACAAACTCGGCCTTGCTCAACACGGGGCCATCAGGGCTTCTGCTCTCAAAGCGCTTCAACCCAAACAGAGAAATCTGCAAATAGACAGGGAGGAGGAGGAGGCATTTATCCAATTTATCAGCTAGAACAAGCAGCACTTCCTGCACTTACTAAAATGCTGTTTAGTAATAGGAAAGACACAATGGCTTCCACCCTGCGAAGTCACTGCAGGTTTTCATTATTCAGTGCTCCGGCCCTGTGAAAGTTTCTTCCAAGTCCTCAGGCCCCAATAGCTGGCAAATCAACCCGGATGGGGTCATCAGCTTTTTGCTTCATTTTAAAAAGGCAAGCAGCAGCAGAGTAGAAGGTCCTCACCTTCCCCAGAGGCTGACCTAGGAACCACAGTGAAGATCCTTTCACTATACTAAAACCAACCCCGGCTGGTGGGATTAGCCACACATCACAGATCAAATCTGAGGGTGGTGGCTTTGTACACACTTGGATTAAATGCTGTCTTCCTCCTCCCAAACTGACCTCCCCTGTAGCTGCTCAGAAAGGAGCCCTACCTACATTTATCAGAACTGCTGATTCAAGGAATAGTAATGCTTATTTCTTGCCACCCCCACCACCCTCAGTTATTTACTGAACATCCTTTCATCTGTTTCCAGTGCAGTACAAATACTTTTCTTGGAGGAGAAAGCAGTCAGCTGTCAGGGCAAAACATGTTCTCTGCAACGCCACAGTAACACGCCCCGAGAACAACCCCCCACATTTTAGCAAAGTCAAAGTCAAGGAAGCTAAGGGGCAAGCAAACTGGCACACACAGGTTGGACTGGAAGTGGTGCAAACTCTGAGGCTGGGAGCATTCCTGCATCCGTGAGGCCAAGCTCTCATTTATGGCTATGGCAGAAGCCTACAAGCTGCTGAAGGAAGATCATCTACAAGCAGATAATGTGTTCCTTGAAGAAGGCATCACTGTCTTCCAGTACCTTTTCTTTAAGGGGTGTAAGCAAAGCTAGCTTCAAACTGTCCCAACGTGCGGATAATTCATCCTCCTTCTTATCATTCAGTCTCCTCCTCCTTTCCCACCCATTGCCGGCATCAGTACCTGGTGGAATCAGGTGGACAGCATGAGGACAGCTGGCCCAACGTAAGTCAGGTGCTGGGACCCAGAGACACTTTGCACAGAAGCCACAGCTCCTGCAAGCATCTCAGAAAGCCTAGAAGTAACTCAAACGGCCTGGAGTAACTGCTAATTGGCAGCAGGACCCAATAAGGAAAATGTACTGTCTGCACAACGCCAGTCTAAGACAGTGATGGAGACAGCTGACTAGTATGGAACCTGCAGCTGCCTGATGGGCCGCACTAATTCTACTACTTTTTATTTAGGAGGCAAGGAATAAATCTGCCCTCTGGCTAGGAAGCTTCACGCTCAGCCCTTAGGGCTGCATGCAGGGGTGGCGGGTTTCAGGGACTGGAAGAACAGCAGGAACCCTTCGCTACTTGATGCAAAACAAGCAAGGCAACAACAGCTTTGCTGCTCTTCACCTGCTCATCATTGGCCCATGTAAGAAAAGGCAGGCCGGCACCTGGTGCCCTTGCAGCTCCCACTCAAGAGCATCCACAGCCCCAGCTCCTCCAAAGGCCTCCCAAAGACAATGCCGGATAAAATGGTCTCCTTCAGGGGGGAGCCGCCCCCCGCTGTGAAGTGAAACAAGCTGAATAGCAACTCTTCAGGATTTTCAGCTTATGGCACTTTCTCCCCTCTCACCCCAGGAAGGAGAGAGCATTTTCTCAACCAGCTCTTTATTAACCACTTTAGTGCCAAGGCATTGATACAGACCTCCTTGCAGGACACCTTCCCTGAGCCAGCCCTGCTTTTCATATATATGCGAAAACTGCGCAATCGTGTTACCCCTGAAGCCACCCCACAGCTAGCCAGCCAGCCAGCCAGCCAGCCAGCCTTCTGTAAGGCAAACAGTGCTGGGGAGAGAGCATCCCTACCAGTCCCAGAGCAGCCCCCCCCCCCCCCGGGACCAAGGCCTGAGCAGCACAACAGCTCTGGGAGTGTTGGGTGTGCTCTCGTAGGGCAAGCATAGCTGAAACTGTGCAACTTGGATGCCTCCAGAGTGTGTGTGTGTGTGTGTGTGCGTGTACTCACGCACACGTATATTAAGGAGCAGATGAGTGAAAAGCCTTTCTCTGGCACAGGAGCTGGAAGTGCATTACCAAAGTGGACAGTACTGAAGGAGATGAGCCCACCAACTGGTTTGGCACAAGGCAGCTTCCTGGATCTGGAAACTCTGGTCTGCTCAGCTCAGTTACACCAGAAGCTGCCTCAGCCAACCTGGAGCTCTCCAGATGTTTTGGACTACAACTCCATCCTGCAAGGGAAAGACAAGGCAAGGAAGCGGAAAGAAGGCAGGCCAGAAGGGGAGGGGAGAGAGATCTATACCCATCTGTACAAAAATTGCACAAACACTGGAAGTGGGTGGGGGCGCTTTTTATACTCAAGGGCGCTAACAAACAAGCCCCCCTCACAGTGTGCAACTATCACCCAACCCTCCAGCTGGCCTCAGCGCACACGCGTCAAGTTGGCTTAGTTTCGCCTTTAGTTCCCCGAGCCAAGCTGTCCGAGCGCCCTTCCCCTGCTGCCCTAAAAGAGACGCGCGGGCCCCCCCGGCCGGGAGGCAGCCCCGGAGGAGCGGCCAGGGCGCCCTGGAGAGCGCGCTCGCCTCCCGGCAGGGGCTGCCCCCAGGCCCGTCCCACCTCCACAGCCCCGCGCCGGGAGCCCCATCCAGCCGGGACGTGGCGCTGGGCGCGGCAAGAAATCGCCGCCTGCCCGGACGACCCCCTCCTCTCCCCCCGCTTCGTCGGCCCCGTCGCTCACCCCGGCTAGAAGGGGCCCGCGAGGATCCCGCTCGCCGCCGCCTCCTCGGCGCCAGCGCCTGAAGCTCCGCGGCGCCTCGGGCTCCATGGCGGCCCCGCTCCGGCTCACCGCGGCGGCTGCGACGCCCCTCGGCCCGCCGGCCGCCCCGCGCCCGCGCCCGCCCCGCCGGCGGCGGCGGCATCGGCGCCATCTTCGGGCTGTGCGCTGCTCCGCCCCGCTGGGGGGGACGGGGGCGGCCGCGCCCCTCCTCCGCTCCCTCCAACTGCAGGCGAAAAGTTGCAGAAAGTCCGGGGCAGGACAGGGACCGACGCGCGCACGTCGGAAGGGATCGCTTATACTCGCCCCCCTTCCCCGGGTAGGGCAGGCACGGTATACACAGTGGGAGTTTTTCACAATTAACCAGGTCACGCTGGTCTTAGAAAGCTTTTTATTTACCAAAATATTCATGTACTACAATTTAAAAGAACTTCATAAACTTATAAAATTTTCTTTTTTAAAAAACAGCCCTTAAGAAGCCATCTTCACTTTTTGCACCTTGGAGGGACCAGCCTGCTCCTGCGAGTGGCGCCGTTTCCTCCTGCTGGTGGGTGGCTGAAAAAGAAAGCAGGAGGATTAACCTGTGGAACCACCTGCTGCAAGGCCATGGAAGGGTGCGGCAGTGCTCCAGACACTCCGTGGTGCCTAAGAAAGCCCCTTGTATGATTGGAGAAAACATGGTTTGGTGTCCACAAGGCAAACCAGCAACCACGGATTGAAGTGGGTTTGCAAACCATGGATTGCTGCCAACTGTGGCTGGGCATGGGGCCTGAACTGGCACAACCCATCATTATAGGCACCACTCTGCCTCCAGAAGCGACTGCATTATCTAGAAGAAGAGGATCAAATGAAACAGAGAGAGAAGCAGACCAGCCGCTCTGAAAGAGACACCGCCTATCAAATATTCCAAAATACTTGGAGGACTTTTAGCCTCAGTGAGAAGTCCATTCCCCACCCCCCTTGGAAAAGTTGCTTCAGTTTATTCCATCTCGTATCTGGTGACCATTTTATGTTGCTGCCATATAGATTTGGCTGGTTTTAGCATATGGTTGTAGGACTCTGTTCTACTTCTTTAAATGCCAATTGTATTTGTGCCTTCATGGGTAGTCAATGCACTCCTGTAATACAAAGCCATTATACTGCACTATTCTTGTTTGGGGCTACCACCCCCCTCACTCTTCATCTTCCCCCCACAAGGCCCTCCAGTGGTCTCTCTACGGCTTCACCTGTCAAAACCCTCAGGTGACCCAAGGGCTCTGGCTCCTTACACCATGCAGCAGCGCTCCCAAATGCCTGTGCTTGCTTGAGCACAAGCCAGTGTTGAATTAAGTTATTTTCCCATTTTAAAAAAAGGAAAATCCCCCCAAATGTTTTCTAAAATCAATTCACAAGTTCTTCAAGCAACCCATCATAAGAAATAGATACCAAAGTTGAGGCCTCTGATGCAGGTACCGGCTCCTGAGTTTGAGTGATTAACCGTTGAAAAGTGTGCTTCATATTTTCATCCTGTGGAGAATATGTATTTGCACATATATTTAAAATGAAATCATAGGGTGGCATAATTCTAGCAGTTGATTAACAGTGTGAAGCAGCCAAGAACGAGGCTGGGCCACAAGGCAGGCAATGGGAGGCAAGAATGGGGATGGAGGGGACGCAAGGAGCAGACTCCAGCCTCAGGCAGGCAGCATATTCTGGGGTACCTATTGGAGGGCATCAGATTGTCAGTTCCTTCCCCACTACAGTGGGAGGAGTTATTTGGATTTTCTGCCTCAGACACTTTTCGGGTTGCAGGCGGACCCCCAGAACCGGAGGATCCACTATATTTCAGAGAGAGGGAAATATATCTGCAGGATTCAGCAAGCAGAAACGTAAACAAGGTGGAATGCGGTCTTTGGCCTTGGCCAAAGGTACAAGCCCCTGCCCCTAAGGAGGCCACACACCCAACTCCCCTTCTCCATTCATATTGCCAAGGCATTATCTTCACTGCCATGGTGTCCCTGTGAAGACTCCACACACTGACCACTGGCTGTCTTTCGTTGACATACAAAACGCTAAGAACTTGTCCCTCCATCAGCAGGTAAAGAGCTTTTTGCTCCAACAGGCTTTTGGGAACTGACTACTTTTAGTGAAAGGGCTGGTGCCATGCTGGTTTTATTATAATTATTTGTATGTTTTAAATAGATTTCATTTATGTTTATTCTTTTAATTCTATTAATGTTTAAGTGCTTTTTTAATTATTGACTTTTCTAGGTTTGTAGCAATTATTGCTTTTATCTGTAAGCTGCCTTGGGTCCTGTCAGGGAAAAAGGTGGGGTAGAAATATATTTTTAAAAAATAACAACTTGGAACCTGTATTTGTCCAATACAGACCATTCCATACACTAAAACTGTTGGAGGAGGTCATCCTGGCTGTCACAGCCTGTTCAGGTCTTAACATGCCACAATTTGAAGTTGTGGCACCCAGCAAATGGAACTGCCTCCACTTCAAAATAAGGGCTTTCAATGCTTGTTAAAGACCTGCCTGATATATGGCAGGTCTACTGTGGATTGTGATGCATTTTGTTATGAGGGGCCACTGAGAAACATCTTCAACAAAACAAATGAACAAAATCATCCTGTCCTGTTCTACCTAGATAGGACAGCTCAGGTGAGCATATACCTGAAGCCAGGGATGTTCTAAGGCCTCTTCTATTTTAAGGCGCTTCCGCGGATCCACCACTAGCAACTTCTGCACGAGGTCAAAGGCTGAAACAACAAAGCAAAATGTGCTGTAGTTCAGCAATAACAGAATGAAACCCTCATGGCCCCTCTAGTCCAGCCTGCCACACCTGCTTCTCTGCTTGGAGAAAACATGTGTGGCGCCCACCTGTTCTGGCTCCCTCCCTGTCCTCCTCCTTTGCAAAGGAACAGCTGATACATAAACATTGTAGTTAGTACTCAATGTTTAAGTACCTTACCTATATTCAGAAGAGGCTCCTGCTGTCACAATTTCTAGTGTGGGTTCAGGCCAAAGAAACTGTACATTACTCAAGCATAAGCTTCATTTAATTCCAAGGGGATTGCTCTGTGATAAGTATGTACAGGAACAAAGCCTGAATCGGTTAGTCTTACAGGGGCCAAAAAGAACTGTTAACAAGGGACCCCATAAATTTCCAAACCCATGGGAAAAGATTGTTCCATTCCTACAGCTTACTCACTTCTACATCTTTTTGGAATGCAGAATACCATGGAGGGATATTAAGTGCACTAGGACACAGAAGACCAGGGTTAAAATGATGCCTTGAGCCCTTGCCACAACCCCAAGCAAGAAAGGAAGGAAGTCTGACTACGGTAGCATCTGCCATTAACATCACCAGTCATGGCACAGTGGCTGAGGAGATGCAGATGCACTCAGTGCCAAGCCATAAGCCAGTTACCTTGTAAGATGCTATTCAGAACACACCTGTGTGGTTTTGCTGCCCTTGCTTCCTAAGTGGGAGAGGAAAAAGGTACCTCACCTCTTTCACCTGTTTGAGGGCCAGGAGGATGCTGTAAGTCTCCTTGGCTCCCTATTGGAAGCCACGGGTAGCCTTCAAGAGACAAGAAGTTCCTTTCAGCGCCATTGTTTAGCCAGGCTTCCCTTTGATGCAAGGAAGAAGACCCCAGCAGTTCAGTTTGTGTCATTTGTTTGAGTCCCAGCCAACATGCCTTGCACTAACAGAACTGTAGAATTGGAAGGGATCCCGAAGGATATCCCTCCCAACCCCATGCAATGCAGGAATGCTGCCCACAGCTGTCCCTGGATGGGCTGGAACTACCAACCTTCTGCTTGAGTCACAATGACGCTTAAGTCTTTTAGACAGCTCTCTCATTTAAACAATGCTGGTGCCTCTATGGTCAACAGACACACCTCTGTCCTGAGAAGCAGGCTCACACCAATGCCTTACCCTCCTCTGACACATGCTGCCATATTTCTGCACAGTAGTAGTATTCTCCCTGGGCGATCTGCTCCCTCAGAGACAGACGAGCATTTTTATCAGAGAAGGGTGGATATCCGGAGAGGCTAATTGAGACAAACAAGAAGAAAAACATGGCATCCCTGCGGCCAAAAACCCACAAGGGGCAGAGGGGCAATGTCTGAAGTGGGAATTGGAGGCTCAACTCCACGGCGACAACAGCGCTTGGAAATGCAACCTTCACTCAGCCTTACAGGATTGTTACAAGGTTAACAGGCAACTAAAGCTTGAGCCTACATGTGCAGAAGTCAAACTAACTTTAATGAACTCACATCCAAGTAAGTCTTGCACAGAATTCAGCCTTAGTTCTCCATGGAAGGGCAAGAGACAAAAATTAAAAATAAAAAGTATTCAAGTCAATGTGTTCAAAATTTCACCCACAAACAGGTACACTTTATGGGAGGACACAAACCTTTGTCAGCCTTCCTGGGTTTCTTACCAAATAAAGAGAATGACTCCCAGACTCCAGCAGTCCACTGAGCGCCCATAACCTCCTGTCTCAGCAAAATTTTGAACTTCGGGAGCAAGATAGTCAGGTGTACCGCATAATGTTTTCATAAGGGACGTTTCTCCAAGAATTTTGGATTGACCAAAATCTGTTATCTTGTACAACAAGAAAAGTAACAAGAATAGATTGATCATAACTTCAGAAGTCATTTAACCTGCTTCTTGCAATGAAGGTCTGCATATGTCCCAAGCCAACCTGCCTAGGTATGTAAAAAAACTGCTAGACAAGATTTTGCAGAGGGAGAGACAAAGAGGGCCTGGGAGACCAAGCAGAGTCACAAGGTCTTTCACAAACACACCCTGCACTCATGGCCTCTGTCTTAAATATTTCATTCCATGATAACTGAGTGGCATGCACTGGAATGCCATCGACATCAGAGACCTGGGTCAAAGCATCTCACAGAGCAACTTTGTTTAAAGCACATGATGTGGGTTGAGGAGGAGAGGGTTGAATTCTTAAACTCCTGCTCACCTTTATAAGGCAATTTGCCTCAGGAGATGACAACAGCACATTCTCCAGTTTCAGGTCCCGGTGAATAATGCCTTTTTCATGAAGATACTTTGCACAGCGCCAAAAAGAGAAAGAATATTATGCAATCAACAGATTGTTGTGGCTCACACACCTTTGCAAGTGGCATCTCCGCTCCTTTTAGAGTACCATGTCCTACCTTCCATGCCTAGTCAACCCCCTCACAGGCACAGCCACGAGCACTTCATAAACAAAAACAACTGACAACTTTGTGTGTGTGTGTGTGTGTGTGTGTGTGTGATCTATATTGCCCAGAGTGTAGCAGAACAATTCAACATAACAGGTCCACATTGCAAGTTCAATGCTTAGAGCTGATCTTGAAGAAAATAAATCTTGAACTCCCAATCTTGAATAGAAAAATCTGAAGAGGATTCCACAGTGGAAACAACATCATGAGAGCAACATCATGGGAAGGGTGTTTCCAGGACTAAGGTGAAACTATGAGGCTCCCTTGTTATTTTTGCTATTGGATGCTGCATGTTGTTTATGTAATCTTGTTATATTTATAGTACAGTGGTACCTCGTTTTGAGTCCGGGATCCGCTTGACGAAAGGGACGCTCGACAAAGCGCCGCTCTGCGCACATGCGTGGAGTGGTTTTATGCTTCTGCGCGTGCAGCAAACCCAAAAGTAACCCGTTCCGGCACTTCCAGGTTTGTCACAGACATTCCATGAAATGGATGCTAAACGGGGCAGACTCAAAACGAGGTACCACTGTATTGAAATGTGGGGGCTTTGTACATTATTATAATTACTATTGTTTTGCTATGTTATGCTATTGTTTTGCTATGCTACTGTTTTTGCTATGCTGTCTTGCTAACCTTTTAGTGTTCTTTAAGAATGTCAACAAGCTTACAGACGTGATCCAGCCGGCAAAGTGTATTTGGAATTTCACAAAGCTTTTCACAAAGGACCTCGTCCAAGACTCTGGTTGCTTTTAAACACCTGCTTTAACTGTCTCTTATTGATAATTGTATTTTTAAGTGCTTAAAGGTTTTATTATAATCAAACAGTATATAAATTTTGTTAAATAATAATATAAAAAAACTCTTGAGAAAGCTTAGCAGTCGTGGAATAAAACAAAAGGCTCTCTTTCATGGAGAATAAGGTGAGCAATGGCTTCTAGCCCTGAAGGCCATGTTCCACCTCCACAGTCCAAGGCAGGCAGGAAGTGTGGGCTCTTGGGCTGGGGTCATGCTTGGCTTCCCACAGGCAACTGGTTGACTTCTGTGAGAACAGGATGCTGGACTAGATGGTCCACCAGCCTGATCCAGCAAACTGCTCTTATCTTTTCTGTCACTGAGCTGTGGCACTTCCTCAGGGTGCAGAGATGTAATGTCTTTCTGTGAATTATCCAAGTGATGAAGAGAGGTACACTTCTGTTTAGAGACATTGCATGGTCTATGCAGTAAATGTTTCCATGTGCTACATCAGGGGCAGCTAACCTGTAGACTTCCAGGTTGGACTCCCACTTCCCATCATCCCTAGCCAGCCAATAGTCAGGGATGAGGGGAACTGCAATCCAGCAAGGTTAGTTAACCATATTTTGAAGCAGCACAACAGCCTTTGCTCATCAGAAGGTTTAACAAAAGAGGCTGTTGCATCCATGTGGTGCAGCAAACAAAGCAGACTCCAGATTGTACCAGTGAATACATTAACAGTCATTAAGCCAAGCTCACCCTACATTACCGGGAGACAACCAGTTTTGCAGAGTTAAGGGGTACCTGCACAGCCAAAAGCATTTGATAGAAATAAAGTTTGCACGTTGCTTCACTCAGTCTTGCTGGGCGTAGAACCTTGTCAAATAGCTCTCCACCTTCCATCCTGAAAGACAGAGCGGAGTAAACCCATGTTTGAAGGCAAAATAAAAATGGAAATGGTGTTCATGATGGAAAGTAGCAACTATTTTTCATCACAGGATACAAAATTCTTCAGTGTAGCATGCAAAGATCTAGAATTAGTTTTCCAAGACTAGCCAAACACTAGCAAGGAAGCCAAGGGGAGAGACAGTCTTTGTATGCTGAAATCTCTATGACCAAGGATATCTTCCAAAATGGCAAGAAAAATTCTGAAGCAGCCTGGAGCCTAAGAGGCTTGTTGACTATGAGGTGAGAACCTCTACACACAGGGATTATTTTGAGCACTAAACATGGAACAGTCTGAACAACAGCTGAACGAGGAGGAAGAGGGCTTGGTTCCAATACAAATCCAGCCCCTGAGAAAGGCTGTCTAGATTGTCCATTCATTCCATCTCCTTAGCTTCTATTTCCAGCAGTCGTCACCTGAGTTTTCTTCTTCTTTAATTATAGCCACACTGAACTGCTCATTTTAGACACTGCCACTCACAGACTTGAGGCACAAAACCGCTCCCTCCGCCCCAAAGAGCACAAAGAAGAATAACTTACAATTCCAAAACAATGTAAAAGTCTTCTCCTTCAAAGAAGTCTATTATCTTGATAAGGCAAGGCTGTAGCAAGGAAGGAAAGGAAAACATCCAAACATTTTCTAGGAAAAAGCCGCTCTCGGAGAAAGCAACACCCTCCAAAAGCAGCTCCTTTTTCCTGAAGCCAAAGAACAGCACAGAACTCTCAGTTCAAAGGAAAATGCTTACAAATGTGAGGACAAAGGGCAAGAATGACATCTCCACCATAGGACCTAAATATACCGCCACACTCCACTGAGTAAAAAAATAAGTGGGAACTGCAATAAACTGTTGCAGCATGGTATGTTGCTGTTCACCATTCCAGCCTGCGTTGCCCTCTCCCAAGGTACTTCAAATTAATTTACTTTTCCTCCCTGCCTTTCAACAGTCAGTCAGCCAGCACCATTCCCTGGCCTCAATTCCTCCCACGTTTAAGCGATTTCCCCCCTAAGATTTTTGTTGTGCTTCTGAACACCTTTATGTTCCTCTGAGGCTGAGCCCCACAATACTCTGCCTGTTGGGCACAGTGGATTCCATTTTGCAGACATCAGAATCTGCCCCGAGAAAATGGGCTTGCTAGTAGCATATGAGATAAATTAGAACCACTGTCAGGTCTTTAGTAGGGCTGGACAATATATCGATATATCATCCAAAACCAGTTCAAGTCCGTATCATTATTTTTCATAATTTTTGACCTGGCAATATATTGCTAATCATGAGTGTGCGTGTGTGCCATGCAAAAATCACAATGTGGAAGCAACCATGAAGCCAGCCAATGCCTCTACATAGCTCCATCCTTATTTCAGGCATTATGATATATCAGTATATTGCAATGTTTAGCTGGTAATATATCACTAAGTTGAAAACCAGCTCCATGCTTATTTCAGACACTGTAACATATCAAGATATCACGATGTTTAGCTGGCGATATATTGTGAAGTTGAAAACCAGATATCACCCAGCCCTAGCCTTTAGTGAGAAGAGGAGGGGAGGTAAAAATAATTTTAAAAGCTGCCTGGTTTAAGGGCCCACTTACATGGTCAATCTTCTTCAGAATCTCCACTTCCGTTTCCACATTAAAAGGCTTGTCCTGCTTTTAGACAATGGAACATCAAAGCGTAAAGGTCACTTGCACAGCTTTAGTATGAGCCCATCTGCTTAGCTTGAGGGTGCTTGACGGTGCAAGAGGACAACGAAACAGAAGGAAGCTCACACACTGACAGAACATCAAGCCTCCTGCCCTCAGTAAAAGTGCTGAAGACAGCCTGCATTGCTGCAGCAAAAAAAGCAGGAAAGCCAAACATAAGGCACTTGGCTCAGCTGGCAGAAGAGTCCTTGAAATTTCACAGAGTTGTAGAACCGCCTGATTTGTATCAGGGAGATTGTTTTGAGAGAGAGAAAAGGAAACTAGGCCAGCCTTCCTCAACCTGGTGCCTTCTAGATGTTTTGGGTAAAGATGTCCATCAGCTAAAGGCAACACAGCCCTGCTGGCAGAGGCTGATGGGAACTGTAGTCTAAAACATCCAACCTGGGGGAGGCTGGACGAGTCAATACTTTTCTTGAAACAAAAGCTCACATAGGCACAATCAGGTAACTTTACAAATTCCACTAGGGCCACAAACCTCAGCACATGCCACAAAAGTTCCACTGATTCTTCCATGCTATATGTTTAGGACTGAGCTGTGAGTCATTTAAGATTGTGAGTTATCCACAATTTGTTTAGCACAAATAAATTTGCATATATCATCTTAATCAGCAGCAGTCAAAGCAAACAATGTTTAATCATCTACAGAGCACAGGTGACAACCTAAGGTACTTTACAAATAATATTTCCCTCCATCAAAAATTCCCTGCCCAGAGGACAAAAACAAAGAGATACTTACATTCTCCGGCAAAACATCTGCCATAAACCTCCGTTTATTTATTATTTTTATGGCCACTTTCTTACAGGTGTCCCTTTCAAAGGCCAGCTTCACCTCTCCACAGGCACCACTAGCAGAAAAAGGAGGCTACTTCAAGGTTAGGGTTCTAACATTTAGATGGTGAAACTGTGAAAGAAATGCCTGCAGTGCCCCAGATTTAAACAGAGCTTCAGAGGACAGTCCTGTCCTCTCTCATCCCCTGATGTGGGAGCAAAAGACTGAGGAGGCTGATTCACCTCCACTGAGGGCTACCATTGAAACCTCATGATGCCCACTCCCCCACCCCCGGCCCACAGGTGCAACTCTCAGTGGTCTTCCCTAAAGACAGCATTGCAGAAAACATGTAAGATAGGCAGGCAGAAAGACTCTAACTTACGTGCCCAACGTTTTTGATATGATATATTTGTCTGTGAGCTCCTTGGGATACTCCAGCTGATGATCACTTTCCATGAGGTCAGAGAATACAAATACTGGAAAGCGAGAGGAAGGAGAGGAGACCCCAGTCCAATAACTACTATTGCAAGGAAAACATACAACTTTCTTCCTGATCTCCAGTGCTCAGTGTTGTGGCCAAACATAATGGAAGAGATCAGAAGAACAATGTGTTTGTATATGTAGCAATGCTAACAATGCTGACAGAATGAGATCCCTTTCCAAATTGCTTTGCTACACACCAGGAAAGTCTGCCTTCACTGCGGAAGGTAGAGGGCAATATGGGAACCCCATAAGCAAGACATGAGCGCAACAACCCTCTTTGGGTCATGATCTCCAGCAGATATTATTATATTTGAGATAGTACAACCATTATGACTAAAAGCCATTGACAGCCCTGTCCTCAATGCATTTGCTTATTCCCCTTTTAAAACCAGCCAAGCTAATCAACTGCTCCTTTGTATTGGAAGATATACGATGTGGCTGATTAGAGATATACCAGATTAGACATTTTCTAAATCAGCCAAATATAAGATTCAAGCATTACATGACTTAAATAGTTTTGAGCAACTACTCAACTCAACCAACCCACTGGGAAAGGGAATCTCTCCCAACCACAGAAAATCCTCAGACATAATTTGACTAACCTTTTTCTTCTTATATGTGATAAGTGTACGTGGCGTTGCACTCTCAGTTGTCTCCCAGTTATCCCCTCCCCTATGTATTCTCATTTTATTTTTCTACTTGTATTTTTACATTCATCATTCTTACTGCATTTTGTATGTGCTTATGTCAATAACCATTCTGTATGAAAATGACAATACAGTAATAACAATAAAGTTTCTTAATGAATAAAAATTAAAATAAAATAAAATCCACACACAATTGGCTACTCTTCCTCTCACTTCATTAAGACTAAAATGGGGGAAAGATTCTGAAGAAGAATTAGAGGAACAAATTTGGAATAAACTACCATGTGGATCTATCTCAATTACAACTCAATAACATGCTTTTAAGATAGCACATTGATGCTACATACAGCTAGATTATACAGAATTAATTATAACACATCCAACTTTTGCTGGTGGGAATGCAACTTACCTGGCTTGGTGGTTCTGCCCAAAAAAATTTCCCTTGGGGAAAGTTTTTCAAACAATTAATCAAACAATGGGACAATCACTACTAGAAGACCCCAAATTGGCCTTCCTATCTTATTTTACCCCTCAGTTTAAGAACATAACCAATAACCAATAAAGACCTCATCCTCAATTTATTAACTGCAGCTAGATTAGTGATCACAAAAATATGGGAAAACTGCAAATGCAAATCTTTTTGAAGCCTGGATTTCGCAAATATGTGACATTGTGCTTATGGGCAAATTAATTATGTCACAAAAGGAATAGCAATAGGCAGGGACTGGACTTATGGAGAGACACTTTCATTGGATTGCCTTTATTAAAAGGTCTAAAACTACAACCATCAGATGCTGTTTTTATTTCCTTTCTGTACTACTACTAAACTGCTTTCTTTGTATGGGTTTTTTTTCTTACTTGAAATTAAAAATCAGTTAGAAAAACAACAACCATCCAAGCTAGTGTCCATTCCTACATGTTGGGCTAACGAATTTCGTTGTCTACCTGTGCACTACCACACAACAGCTCCAAGTGCGGCACTCTGAACAGCAGCCACTGGGGAACAGGAGTGGAGGGAGATTATCACCCACAGAGAGCGAGGCGTTTCTTCTGATAGACTGCCTCTTACATTACATTCAGGGTTAATTTTGACACTATTTCATCAAGGTGTGTCACTATAAAACCATGAAGGTTGAAAACTGGATTACACTCACTACCCAAAATGCCCCTGTAAGCCAGGGAGTTTGCAAGGAATCTTACCTTTGTTGTGGGGCAGGGAGAGTGAGATTTCAGCAACATTTGCCAAGGGAAGCTTCTTGCTCTTCCCAAGGAGCTTTCCATTGATGAAAGTCCCATTGGCACTTTGGTCTTCAATATAGGCCACGTGGCAGCTTCTGGGCCCTGGTTCCTTGGAGGAAGGACAGTGAGCTAGGAGAGTCCACTTGGCAGGGTCTCCCTCACAGCAGAATCACAAGCGAGGAAATAGGAAGGGTTCAAATTCTGCAGAAAGAGCCCCACATAAACCTTGCAAGCCAGAAGGGCACACAACCCAGGCACACCCATTCACTGCCACCAGAAAACTTCCTCAAAGTGGAACTTGTTGCCCAGAGCAGAAAGCAAGGAGGAATCTCTGCAGTACTTACTCTGAAGATGCGGAAGTGCCTTTTGCTGTACTGTTTATAGAGCTCTGTCTCAGTCAGATTCAGCTTAGCAAAACTGTAGTCGCAACTTGGGTCTCTCCCAAACCAGTACTCATTTTTCACGCAGTCTAGGGTGGGGGAAAAGAAGAGCACAAAACCCAAGTAAGGAAACAGCATGTGGAAAACACACCTGCATCCTCTTGCGGGTCTGAGAAGAGCAAAGGAGGCTCAAGCATAGTAGGCATCTCCCCATCTGAATCAAAAAGCTTTGAGAAATTAAAACCTACCAGAGATTTATCTGACATGGGTTTATAAACAAGCTCTCCTTTTACTTTTATTCACCAGAAGGGCAATTGCTTGCTGGCATCAAAGACCAGAACGGTATTAACAAAAGGAAAAGGTGATTCCCAGCAAAACCCCAGTCCCTGATAATGAGGAATCATCCAAAAAGAGACAAAGAAGGAAGCAAAACATATAGTGAACTGCTGAAAATAATGAACAGCAGTTCAAATATACAGGAAGACCAGAACTGCTGCAGTTTGGCCAAGATTGTAAAACATGTAGATGAATTCCCGATACCTTTTCCTTCTAACACAAGGAAACACCTTAGCGAGTGGCTGGCCTGGGAGCCCATTCCACTACTTGCCTTATTCCCGAGTGCTCATATAAAAGAAAAGGGTACAAGATCACATCCCAGCTGGACAAGCAATATCCCAGTTGGATCTGGTTCTTCTGGAACTCCACAGTGGAGGATGCTGGTTGCACTGAGTTTTCCCACCTGGTGCATAAGAGCACCCTTCTTAGCAAAGGAACAGGCTCTCTGGCTGGCACAGGTGGATCTCCCTTAGAGCAAACGCGCCTCTAGAACAGGCATAGGCAAACTCGGCCCTCCAGATGTTTTGGGACTACAACTCCCATCATCCCTAGCTAACAGGACCAGTGGTCAGGGATGATGGGAGTTGTAGTCCCAAAACATCTGGAGGGCCGAGTTTGCCTGTGCCTGCTCATCCCTCCACCCAGTTGTGATTCTGAAGAGGCAACAGCTGCGTATTTTCCATAGCGTTTTGCGGGTGAAGCTTTATATGCTGTGATTTATTTAAGCAGAGGTCCCTTCCTCTGGTCTGAAGCCCAGGGGAGCCGCTGCTGCTCCTCGCGGGCCACGACGGAGGGATGGAGCCGGTGTGAGGGGGCAGCCTGCTCACGCACCGCAGCTGGGGAAGCCCCTGGCCAGGCTGAAGAGGCGGCCCCAGGGCTGCGGCGAGGGCTCCTGCGGGCCGGGCTCCGGGTCCTCGGGGATGGGCGGCAGGTCCTGCGTGGGCAGCGTGTCCAGGGAGCTGAGGGTGCCGGAGCTGGACGACGACTGGCTGGCGCCCGGGGTGCCGCTGGAGCTGCTGGAGCCTTCCGCCGGCGGGCGAGGAGGCGGCGGCGGCGGCGGCGGCTGGGAGTCGCTTCCGGGCTCCTCGTGGGACATGGCGGCTTCCCGGGAGAAGGGCTGCCGGCCGACGCGGCAGAGCGAGCGAGCGCCAGGCAGGGGCGCTTTCCTCCGGCCGAGGCCTTCTCCGCAGCGCCTCTCCCGGCGAGGAGACCAGCCCCCCCGGCCCCGCGCCCACCCGGCGGCGCACCTGGCGGCTCCCTGCGCGGCCCGGCAGCCGCCTCCCGCCTTTTCGGCAGCCCCGCCCCCGGAGGCCTACGTCACGAGCCCAAGCCAACCGCGGCGAGCCGGCGCGCAGGGCCCGCCGGGAGTTGTAGTCCGGGCGGATGAGGTGGGACGCGCTGAGCAGGAGGCTTCGCTGGGCGGCGGCGCCGCGGCGCCTCCTCGACCCCCGGGCGCCCCCCTGGGCCGCCGCCGCCGCCTGGCCCTCGCCCTCGCCCTCCTCGTCCTCGCCTCCGGCGTCGTGCTGGAGCTGCGGCCTGGCTCTGCCGCCCGCCTCGCCGCCGCCGCGCTTCTTCTGCCCTTCGTGCCGGGCGCTGCAGCCCCCCGAGCCCCGCGCCGACCTCTTCCGCCTCCTGGGATGGTGCGTGGCCTGGAGGGCGCTGGGCCGGGCGGGGGTCTCTCTCCGCGCCCCCTCCTCACTCACTCTCTCTCTCTCTCTCGTTCGCCTGCAGCGAGCGCAGCTTCCGGGTGGACGTGGGCCTCGTCCAGCAGCGCTTCCGGAGCCTGCAGCGGGCGCTGCACCCCGACTTCTTCAGCCAGAGACCTCAGGTCAGGCGGGCAGGCCGCCCCTCGCCCACCCGGGGGGGCCCTCGCAGGCGCACGGGCGCCGAGCCACAGACGTCCTAGACAGACACCCCATGGCTCTTTAGGGGGGCGTCCCCTCCGCTTCCATATGCAAGGCCTGGGCCGGGTGCCTCCTTCCCTTCTGCCACCCTCTCTTGTCATGGGAGGGAGCGGATCAGTAAATGGATTATACCTTTTGTGCCAGCGAGTCAGAGTAAAGTTAAAGTGTAAGGTAAACACAGTTGTTTGGGTTCGCTGTGCTTTTCTCCCAGTGGTGGCTCAGGCGTACTGGTGAGCCTATCTCCCAATGCTCTTTCAACAGGCGGAGCAGAATTTTTCCAAGCAACACTCTTCTCTGGCTAACAAAGCCTACCGGACGCTCCTGAGCCCCCTGAGCCGTGGGCTGTACCTGGTAAGATACCTGCTGTGTTCCACAGGATGACACACTCACACCTGGCCAAAGTGCCTCACACCACCCATGTGAGAAGCAAAGCCCTGCTGGCTCAGGTCAAAGGCCAATCGAGAATGCAGACCCCTAGCTACAGATGAAGCCTCCAGAGGGATTCCATTGAGTCTCCCAGCCTGTGTGTTTGTGTACACAAATGCACATGGGGGATGCCAAGTGGGGTCTTTGACCCAGGTGAAATAAAGCCTAGTTTGGCCCCTGGACAAGGACAGGCTGGGAGAGAGATGATAAGGACAGTTTAGAAAAGAGGAGGATGTTGGTTGACAGTAAGCTGCTTCTTTAAAGAAAGGCTAAGGAGGGATGTGTCCCTACTGCCTCCACTTCTCATTACATATCATCTCCCAAAAACCTTTAGCTGCTTTGCATGTTCACCACATATGATAAAATGTACCTTCTGTTTCTTGACAGAAGGTATCTGATTCTGACTTATACATATTTGCTAACTTAGTGCCAGATACCTTCTATAAATCATTTTCACATCTTTCAAAGCATAAAGGTAAAGGTAAAGGGACCCCTGACCATTAGGTCCAGTCGTGGCTGACTCTGGGGTTGCGGCGCTCATCTCGCTTTATTGACCGAGGGAGCCGGCGTACAGCTGGCATGTGGCCAGCAGGACTAAGCCGCTTCTGGCGAACCAGAGCAGCGCACGGAAATGCCGTTTACCTTCCCGCCGGAGCGGTACCTATTTATCTACTTGCACTTTGCCGTGCTTTCCAACTGCTAGGTTGGCAGGAGCAGGGACCGAGCAACGGGAGCTCACCCCGTCATTGTGGGGATTCGAACCGCCAACCTTCTGATCGGCAAGCCCTAGGCTCTGTGGTTTAACCCACAGCGCCACCCGCATCCCCTTTCAAAGCATAACACTGTAAATTTCAAACCAGTTTTCCAGTTTTCCCCAGAGGCTCAATTCTGTATTATGTCCTACATCCCTTGCCCAATGAATCATAGCAGATTTTACCAAGTCATCATTTGTTTCCCATTCTAACAAACTCTTATGCATCCTAGAAATTAATTTTCCTCTATTTTCTACTGGTTCCCTTTCAGATCTGGAACTTTGGTCCATAAATCCACACTGCTTATCTTACTTAAACACTTCGTTCAGTAGGCGGGTAATGTAGCCAGTCCGTCACCTGGTTTCTGATGTCTTCTAGTTTCTTCAATTTTACCTCTTGATCTAAAATGTCCAAAAGGTCTGTGTATGTTGTCCACTGTTGACCCATGTTCAGTCTTTTCAGTGAGATTGCTTCCATAGGCAAGAGCCATAAGGGTGTTTTCCTTTCTAGCAGATTTTTATGTGTCCTCCATACCCTATATAAATTCTTCCTAATACATGGTTCAAAAAGTTCTTATAAATTTTAGCGTTACCATACCAAAAGCATGCATGCCAACCAAATTTAATATTGTACCCCTCCAAATTTAACTGAATATTGTTCAACAGTATCCAAGCTTTTAACCAACATAAACAAGCAGTGTCATAATATAAAGTAAGTTTGGCAGCGAGAACCCACATCTTTCTTTAGCTTCTATCAGAATTTTATACTTTATTCTCAGTTTCTTCCCCTGCTAGACAAATCTAGAAATTTCCCTTTGCCATTCTTTGAAGCAGCCTGTATTATTAATTACTAGAGCAGTTTGAAATAAAAGTAGCACTTAAGCTAAAGCATTCATTTTTATGGATGATTTCTTCACAAGTTGGTACTTTTTCTTGGCTTCCCAGCCTTCTATAAATCACACTCCTGAGGCTCCTCTATTAGTATGACAGACCAGGGGATCACCACACCCCTCCTGACTGGTTTGGGATTAGTTGTCTCCAGAAGATCTATCCCCTTCTTGCTGAACTGAAACCTAAGTGGAGTGTTCCCTCACAACTCCACTTTTCCTTTCTCAAATTCAGCTTCCCAGTTCTCATTTGTCTGTATACTCCACTGTCTTTAAATCTGACACTCAGTTCAAAGACCCCTTTCTCTGGCTCTAGATCTTTCCCTCAGGGTGGATGTTACACAAACAGCCAAAAGGCTATCCACCTATCCAGCTGAGCGCCAAGAATGCCAACTCTCGACTGCTTTTCTTTTTCCCTCCCAAAGTGCTGAACCCACCCTCCTCAGGCTAGCTGTACCTGCAGCCAACCAGAGTGAATCTCCAGCCCAGTAGTGGCATTGCATCTCCATGCTCCAGTCTACCTCAGCTTTCCATAGGAAGTAGCTACTTCCCTTTGCATCAACAGGTGCTGATCAATTCTCATGGTTCACAGGCTGCCTTCAGAGTGAAGTGAGGAAGTGCTTAAAAGCCATTATCATTCTTTTCTAGCTGGAGTTGAATGGAGTAGAGCTGGAGAAAGGAACAGACACTGAGGCAGACCCTGAGTTTCTCTCAGAAATCATGGAAATTAACGAGAAACTGTCAGATGCAAACAATGATGCTAAAATAGAAGAGATGGAAAACTTTATTGCAGGTAAGATGGAGAATTGTGCCTGAAGAGGTGTCTATGCTGTCTTTCAGTGGGGTGAGGGGTGGGAATCTATCAAGGAGTGAAAGCACAGTAATGAAAACCTCCACAGAACAACATGAAGCAGTATTTAGAATTATAAAGCCACCTCAAAGGTCACCCTGTTGATGAAAAAACACACGACTCCTGTCTCTCTGCTTCAAACCCTAACAAATGAGTTTTTTTGAATTTAGGCTCCCCTGTGGGTTTTCATTTGCATCTTAACTCTTTCTTCCTTTCCTCAGTTTAAGTGTCCCACTCACAGAAGCTGCTGCTATTACTTCTGGGCAGGCCGCTTGGGCACAACAGATGCTATATCTGTCATTTCCCCACACCCCCTTGATAGGATTGAGAGTTTCTGAGGGTTGGGAGTGTAGATTGGGGAAAGTTCCTGATCTTGATGTTCAATACAGCTGTGTGAGGATGCATTAGCTGATCTTCATTGAAGTGTAAAAATGGATCAGTACATAACTATGGGCATCATTAATGCAAAGCCTTGTTCTTAACCACTCAGTGTGCAATCCAGTGCATCTGAGCTCTGAAGTCAGTCCCATTCAGTTACATTCTAGTTTGAGTGTCCATGTCTAAATAATTCTAGCCAGCTGTGCTGAAGGAGCACAATAAAGGTAAAGGGACCCCTGACCATTAGGTCCAGTCGTGACCGACTCTGGGGTTGCGGCGCTCATCTCACTTTATTGGCCGAGGGAGCTGGCATACAGCTTCCGGGTCATGTGGCCCGCATGACTAAGCCGCTTCTGGCGAACCAGAGCAGCGCACGGAAACGCCCTTTACCTTCCCACCAGAGTGGTACCTATTTATCTACTTGCACTTTTTGTGCTTTCGAACTGCTAGGTGGGCAGGAGCAGGGACCAAGCAACGGGAGCTCACCCCGTCGTGGGGATTCAAATCGCTGACCTTCTGATCAGCAAGTCCTAGGCTCTGTGGTTTAACCCACAGTGCCACCCGCATCCCTAAGAAGCACAATTCTATGCAGAAACTACAGCAAGGGGCTTACGGTGTCATTTCTAGAAAGACTAAAAGCTCAGATTTTCAATATATTTTCCACTGGAGCCCAAGCAATTTCCCCTTTGTCAAGGGCAAGTACAACAAGGAAGAACTGAAGGGGGGGGGGTTGTGCCATGCTTGACATGGAGTGAGCTCAGTCACAGATCAGATGAATCGGAGAGCACTTTCTCATTTCTAGAGACATTTTGGAAAAATCCCTTTGTGGGTGTGGCTAGACTTTCAATAAGACATCTGCTGCTTCCTGACTCAATAGAGCATTCTTCCAAGCCAACATGGTTCATAGGCGGGCATGATGGGAATTATAATCCAGAACAGTAAGGACAATGGGCCCGGAAGGCTGCTTTAACATTTGCCCTCCTAAGGACAGTATCCATGGTCATGACATCTCATGAACAGGGGTGAAGGCACATGTAGATAACAGCTTTGTCTTAAATGAAATCAATGCCCTCTTCTTTCCCTTCCAGCTAAACAAGAGGAGCTGATTAAGGATGTGAGCAGAGCGTTTGAACATGGTAGGAGTATTTCCTTCCTACTTTCTTTGGGGTGTGACCTGCTTGCAAATGACCTCTTGTGCTCCCAGCTGCATGTGGCATGTGCCATCCACATGGCTTACAGGGCTAAGTGCTCATCAAAAGCCATTCTGGATTGTAAGGACTTGCTTAAAGCCTACCTTTCAAGGAAAGCTGAGCTGTTCAGAAATAGAATGCATTTACTGGTTTTATTGAGGCTCATTTCTCTACAGACATTGATCTTAAGGCACACAATGGTTAGTCCTGTTAGGAGATATTAGTACTAAGTTCCGCAGGATGGCCCAGCAGCAGAGCAGCCTACTTTCTTGAAGTCACTTGACTGACATATTGCAAGAACGTGCTGTTCTTTGGGTTCCTGAATGCCAGGAGTGTGCTGATTCTAATGGTGTAGCCATTTCTCAGTGCTGGGAGCAAAGTTCCCACTGGAGTACAAATTTGCTTTTTCTTTGTTTAATTGCAGATGATCTTCAAGAAGCCAAAAAATATCTAGCCAAAATGAAATATTTTGCAAACCTAGAAGAAAAGCTGAAGAAGAAGAAAATCCCTTCCTGACTTCACAGTATTTCCTAGGATGAGTGGTTCCCATCTGAATGTTTGATAGGCAACTCAAAGCAATGAGGCCACGGTGCAGTGCATTCTTTGGCATGACATGGAAGAGAATGGGCATGATACCTGCTCCTCAACCTGTGGAAAACATCTCACTGCTCCATTGTCAAGATGCTCTCCGATAAACACTTGAGTGCAGAGACCCTGCTTTGGATGAGGCCATACTTAGGAACTGCCTAATTTAGCCCTGCTTATGTCTGGGAAATACATGTAATGCTTTGTTTTGAGCTCCCAAGCTTATAAATCAAAATAAATGTGTGGCCTCTGGATACACTTCAGTTTAGAATTTTAAAGAAATGAGGTTAGGCTAGATGGTGACATGCTGTCTTGATTTGGTGAGGGCTGAGTTGGTCTAAGACTGTTCTGTGAGATGCGGCACAGGGAAAGACAGGGAGGGATACAAACTAGGTGAGGCTTGTAGAAGTTCTGAGGAAACCAGATCTTCTGGCACTTAAGCAACTTACTGTTTAGCATGTCCAGTTCCGAATGTTTCCTGCCGGGGGGGGGGGACACTCCAACTTGCATGGCTCAAGGGAGCCCCAACACCTGGAGAGTCGAAGGTTCCTCATTCCAGTTTAGTGCAAAGTGGAGCTCTAGAAGGACTCTTATGAGCAACTGGTACACAGTCCACTAAGAAGAGCCTTGCAGCTGGACCATTGCTGGTGGAGACCCATTGACTTCTGCATCCTTTTCCCTGTAGTGGCCAGCCAGATCTGCCCCCACCCCCCTTGACAGCCCACCAGCAGGGAGGGGCATGAAAACAGTGGCCCTTCTCTGGCAACTAATGCCTCATCTTCCCTCAGTGTGTCTAATCCCTTTTTAAAACCTATGCGCTGTTGCATAAGTAGCAGGATGGACACTGTACAGGGCAGAGACTGATGTAGAATTCTTCTTTCCCTTTGCAATCCTTTCCCCCCAAGGTTTGTAGGTTATCATCCATAGTTTATGAAGTACCTTGCATACATGTTTCAAGGGACTTTATAACAGTACAAAATAAACAACTAAAGGTAGTTTTTTAAAAGTACCAGAAAGGTTACATTGAAGGGGGTGTAAAGGGTGAGGTCTCTGTTTATATTTCCCTGGGCACCATTCCTTTCCCCCCTCTTCCTCCAAATACTCCGTCACAAAAGATGCCCACTGGGTATCTCAGCCCCCGAGATGCTTTCCTTGCTGAGCTGGTCACCTTTCATTTGGTTGTCCTACCTTGATTTTGCCAGGCTGCATCTCACAGCTTTGTGGCTCAGCAGTAAAGACAGTCACTTAGATGAACAGCTGACTTTATTGAACTGAGTCCTTGTACAGGATACAAAATGTGTTTAAGGAGGGACAGGGTGGGGGGAGAACAAAGTCCTGGCAGCAAGAACAGCCTACTTCTCTGTAGCCAACGGGGGGGTGGTTGCTAGTGTTGGGGAGCAACGGTTGGCCTGCTAGCAGAGTCGGTTGGTATGAGTGTTCCCTGGCGCAGCTGGCAAGGTCCTGCGCCTCACAGCTATGTCCCACCCTTTAGAACTCATTGCTAAGATGTTGTCTCTCGCACAGTTCTCCCTCTTGTTCCTTGCTTCTACCAAAGTTGAGCTTGTGGAACTCTCTCTTAATTTCCAGGAAGGTTTTGTTCTTTGTCTCAGGAATAACAAAGGAGATGAAAATGACAACCAAGCAGCATTCTAGCAAAAACACAATGAAGCAGTACTGCTTGAGGCCTTTCTGGAAGAAGGAAAAAGAAAGCATGTCACATGGGGGGGGGGACACCTTCTGTGCCCCTCCAGGCACTGCTGGATGGCTCAGCCTTCTCCATGAATTTCTCTCTCAATGGCTACAAGTTACCTCCATCATCACTAGTGGGAAGAGCGCCGTTGTATTTGGGCCCTGCTTGCAGCCTTCCCCAGAGAGGCTGCATCTGGCCAGCCGCTGTGAGAGCAGGATGCTGTGCTAGAGGGGCTCCTTTGGCCTCAGAAGGAGATCCTGGACCATGAGCAACATCCCAACCCCCACCTGGAGTGGCTTTATCTGCTTAAGCTGGTCATTTGAATTCTTGAATCCACTATCACTGGCCAGAAATCTCTCCTGCTTAGTGAACTTGGAATCATTGCACATCTTAGAAATTCTAGGAATTTGAATTAGATGCATTTTTCCCTTTTCATTTTTTGGGGAGGCAAGTTCTAAATAGAGGTCATTAAAGGCTTAGAAAACATGATCTAAATGCATTTCTGGGCTGAACAGGCTGTTTTACTGGCAGCTGTTTCTGCTCATTCATGTACTTCTCAGGTCCCTTCGCAGGGGGTTGCTTCTAAAGGTATTAAGAGCTGGAAAGGAATTAGTGAAGATTTGTCCCTCATGCATGAGGCACCTCCCTGATTCAAGGGCAGCTCATCATACAGAATTGCCTCCAATTGCACTAAGAGGTGAACCGTCTTTCTCGGGCTTTACTGAAAAGGGGCAGCCAGGGGTGCTGCTGAGAGAGCCCAGCCAGGGTTTGATGCTGTCTCATCAGAGGCCAGCTTCAGTTCATTTTGCATTGATGTCAGGTGGTGGGGATGATGATGATGATAATAATAGAGAAGGGTGCTCTCTGGGGTTCCCTCTATTTTATATCAACATTTATGAGCCCCTTTTTTGATGTGAAAGTGGACAGAAGCTCAGCTAGGAATATAATAATAAAAACAACAAATGTCAAATGCAAAAACCAGGGCAACGGGCACAGCAACGCCATCTCCTGATGAGTCCCCCTGAGTGGTGTCTTGCAGGAGCAGCCAGGGGAGGTTGGGTGGCTACAAACTGCCAGTTTACCTACCACAATGAAGGGGAAGAGCATCCCGATAGTGAAGAAGCTGAGCCAGCTCACCGAGCCTGCAATCATGTAAGCAGCTGGGCGCGAAGACTGGGTGAATAATTCTGTGGTCAAAGTGTTCGTCACCCCACCTGCAAACCAATTTTCAAAAAAGGTGGTGCTATGCTGGGGGAGTATTTCAATAAACAGAAAATGAAACGATTTCCCTTCCTAGATTAGGAAGCTGCTTGCATGTCTTTGAGGGGAAGGCTAGCAGCTAGGTTTTGTTGGAATCTGGCTACAGAGCCATATGCTAAGACAAACGGACAGTTGTGGCAACTCCCTCTTCTTTTAAAGCATGGCAACTATTGTCATCCTTGGGGCTATGGAAGGAAGGCACGTCAGTACAGAATAGTAGTATCTGATGCCCATAAAATGGAGAGAATGCACCTAATAACAGCTCCACCTCTTGACCTAGGATGCTTCCCATCCCCTTCATGCCTGCCCTGAGCTTCTGGGAGAATCCAATGGTGCTTAATCTTGAGGAACAGTTGATGGGAAACGCAAGTGGGAGAGGGCTGTTGTCCTCATGTCCTGCTTAGGGCTTCCTGGAAGAGGCAGCTAGCTGGCCACCATGGGAACAGGAGGCTTTGTCCAGCAACCTGGTTCTTCTTGGGGACTTAGGATGCCTCCATGCATTTCCTGCACTTGCCCTCAGCAGGTGGGCTGTTTCAGTGCCTTCAAGCAGCCTGCTTAGCTTTTGCAGCACCCTGCTGGTAGCCCCACTCTGCCTGTTGGTAAAACCCTGTGGCTCCAAAAGTCCCCAACTTAAAATCCAACAACGGGTAGTTGAGGGCACATGCAGTGTCTGCCCCAAATTCATCACTGGGAAGAGGTACCTGGTCCAAGCCCAAAACTCAAGATGAAGGCAAATATGCAGGCCATGCTCAGGTAGGGTGCCCACGAGTACACCTGGGGAAGAGAGAGAACATGGGAAGGCTTGGCACTGGCTGCAGCCACCATGCCCCTCCCTCATGTAACCACCCTGAAGGGGATCAGGGCCAAGCTGGGGGTGGGAATCCAATAGCAGAGGGGCCAAGTGCAGCGTGCTGTCTCTCCTGGCTTCCCTCCTGCTGCGCGGAAGACTCCTGAGACCTGCTGGCCTTCAGTGACTCCTCTCATGGTGCCTTGCTCATCAAGATTCAGCACCCATGCACACCACATGAGCAGACATCATGTTGAAAAGCTGCATTGCAGCTGGCCCACATGTGTTCTGAACAAGACTACCCAGCCTACCTGGTACGTCAGGGAAAAAGTCAGCACTATGCACCACAAGGTCATCAGGGAGTAGCCTCCCAGGATCAGGACCCTTCTCCCCATAGACTCAATGAGCAAGCCCTGCGAAAAGAAGAGAAAAGCATTCACTCACTCAGCAGCAAGGAGGATTCTCTTTCTTGCCTCAGAAATTCAGATGGGTGCAATTGGAACACTCATCACTTACGCAGGTGAGGGCAGTGAGGCACTCGCAAGCCCCAGTGCCAAGGGTCACGTAAGGAATGTTTTCTCGGGGGATCCCAGCTTCCTCAAATACATAACTTGCATAGAAGTAAATCTGTGAGTAAATACCAAAAACATAATGCATGGGAGGCAAATCACCAGGCAAAGCAGGCACAGCCCAGCGTGGCCTGTGCAGAGTTAATTTGGGTAGGTATCTTACCTGGAAAAGCGGCTAAGAAAAGAAAAGAAACTGCTTAATGTTACCACCTTCTAAAAACTGGTGTGCATAACTTGCCCACTACGGGGGCCTGGAAGCTCTGCATTCTTTCCTGGGAATCTTCCCTCCAATCTTCACAGGAAAGTGAGCTGGCTGTGAAAGAGCTGGTCAAGAGTGCCACCAGCCATGCTCTCACTGCTGAGGTCCAGTGCAAGGGAGAGCGCATGGAGGGGAACAGTGTGGGGGGGGGGAGAGGGCCTGGCTGACATTAGCTTTGCTCTTCATAGACAACTCAACCAGGCAAAGTTCAGTTTAAGAAGCAGATCAGCCAGCCAGCTGGGTATGTAAAATGGGAAGCTGGACTTGGACATGAAACTGGCAGATAAACAACCCCACTCTGGTTCTGACAGTTGCTTCAGAACAAAGGATGGGTTGGAGTTTCTCCCATAGTGAGTGACATTCAGACACTTCCCTGTCACCCCAGTTCCTAAAAAGGCTGACATTTTGCCCCCTTCCCAGTCCACCTTTGAGCCCAATGCACATTTCCCTGTTTGTGCTAACAATGGGAATAAATGTCCTTTCACATGTGTGCCCTTTGTTTGGAGACATCTACACTGAGCCAGCTCCTCCCCACCTTCAGTCTCTCAGCTCCCAGCCAAGGACTCCCGAGAACTGTAGTTCTATCAGAAAACAGAGCACCTAACCCGGGGTCAGCAACCTTTTTCAGCCATGGGCCGGTCCACCATCCCTCAGACCATGTGGTGGGCCAGACTATATTTGGGGGGGAATAAAAATGAATGAATTCCTATGCCCCACAAATAACCCAGAGATGCATTTTAAATAAAAGCACACATTCTACTCATGTAAAAACACGACAATTCCTGGACCATCCACGGGCCAGACTGAGAAGGCGATTGGGCCGCATCCGGCCCATGGACCTTAGGTTGCCTACCCCTGACCTAACCATACTCAGCATTTCCTCAAGGTGACAGCTGCCAGGAATCTCTTAGAGAAGTCCCAGCAGCTAAGCCATTTCCAAGTTGGCTGATGTTTGCTTGGAGTGTCAATGCATGTCCTTGCATGGCAGGGGGGAAACTAGGCAGCAGGCAAATGAGTGATCCCTAATGGAGAGCTGCTCTTCTCCTGAGTGGGGAGTGGCTCAGTCCTGGTACTCACCGCGTTGATCCCGCTGAGCTGCTGGCCCATTGTCAAGAGGAGGATGGTGATGAGCTGCCATCGGATGCTGCGGTCAGTGAAGAGTTGCCAGGGTTTCTTGGCTGCCTCACCACCAAGTGCAAAGCGCTCCTTCTGGATGTCCTCCATTTCTGCCTGGTAGTTCAAAGGGCCATGGAACCGTTTCATTGCTGGGAAGGATAGAGGAGAGCTTTTAGGGCCCAAGTGGGCCTTTGAGCGCAGGAGATCTTCGTGAGGCTGCCAAGAGCTGCTGCAGCTCAAGAGAGAGACAGGCAAGGGGCCTTGCAGTTTGGATCATAGAAACCACCCTCCCAACCACCCAATGGGAGAGGAGTCGGGCTGGCTATTTCACAGGTGCACCTGGACTGGGCACAAACTGGCTTGCCCAAGGCCCCACACCATGTCCTTGGACACACAACTCTTTGGAGCAGAAGGAAACAACCAGCAGTGGCTTGTGGGGTGTGAAACACAGAGTAGTCAAATACAACATTCCTAGAGTGGACATAAAAAGGGGGTGTCTGGGCCAGCCAGTCAGAACTTCCTGTTTCCTCCTGGGCTGGGACAAACTTCCTCTACATGTGACCAGAGGTGGGCGTGACCTCACCTGTGCAGGTAACAAAATAGCACAGGGGAGGCACCCATCTCTCTCTCTGACTCCATTCCTCGAAGAAGCAACATCTCTATCTCCTTATGGGATAGATTCCACATGTATATATTTTGTAACCTAAGTCTGCCTTCTGGGAAACTTCTGTGAACAGAATGTGAGTAAACTATTTTATATACTTTTATACAAGACTGTGTCGTGTATATTCTTTTAAGAGGGAATAAAGGGGAATTCCCAGGAAACTTATTTTAGAGGCTTATGCAAGCCTGGCAAAGACGTTATCCGCTGTGCAATTTTTAAAAGGGGGAATGTTACTCTGCTAAATTATAGAACTTGTTAACACAAGTTGGGAAGGATATAATTAAACAATATATCCTCTCCTGCCTCCCTGAACATTCCCACGTGGCTAAAAGCCTCTCTGGGGAGGTAAGTAACCTTTTGGGGAACAGGGCCTCTGGGGCTGAGAGCGAGGGGGTGGGGGAAGCAAGGAGCAGTGGATGCTGAAGGGCAGACTTCACCTTTGATGCATTTCATCTCATCCCCTTGGTCAATGAAGAGAAACCGGGGGCTTTCTGGAAACCAGGGTAGGGTCAAGAGTTGGATGAAGGCTGGGAAGCAGCTGCTTGAGAGCAGGAAATGCCAGTAGGCCTCTCCGCCAAGTAACTCCCTGCAGGAAGAACAGACAATGCTGAGACAAGGGGCTGCCAGCTCCATTCTGATCCTGGGACAACAAGCCAGGCCTGAGCTGACCAGCCCCCTCTGGGTGATGAGGGCCCCGGCACTCACCTTAAGCCAATAACCTGTCCTGTTAGAATGCCCCCTGTCAGGAAGATGGAGCTGCCCATGACCATAGCGCCTCGCAGGTGCTTAGGGGCAGCCTCGCCTATGTAGAGAGGCTGCACACAGAGGCCGATGCCTGGAAATGGAAGAGGAAATCAGTGCCTCCCTTCTTCATTGCAGGATCCACACACAGGGGACCCTCAGGGGCTGCAGGTGGCCTTTCATTATAGGTTGCTAGTGGTGTCACAGGGTGTTCAGCCTCAACAACACCACCAGGAAAAGAAAGCAAAGGTTCACAAAATAAAACTACATAAAGGCCCTTTGCAGTAGGATGTGCTCACACAAAGTAAGACCACTAGCTGATCATTGATGAAGTCACAAGTGCACAAACATATCCCACATGTGCCCTTAATGCCCCTGAAATCCCACCAGGTGAATTTTCCCAGGTGCAAAGTTGAGTGTTACCTGTGTTCATACCAATCAGAAATCTCCCAACAATCAGCAATTCATACAATCCGGCTGGAAAGCTAATTCCCATGAGGATGGCGGCCAGGATGGCAATAAAGTTGTTCATTAAAAGAGCTCCTTTCCTGCAAAGGAGGAGGGTAACAGGATTGCACCCTTGAGGGACAGTGAATTTTTTGTCACAGACCCTGACGGGCTCCTGGACAAAGTTGGCACAGTGTTCAAGGTCCTCCAAGAGAAACAGGCAAATTTAAACATCTTACATAAGCTGGTTGGAATCCACAAGAGCCTCTTTCCCACTAAACCACACAATGGAAAGTCACCCCTCTGGAGACTCCCCGCCCCGCCCCCAAAACTCCTATTTTTGCTGATAGGGCTGTGCTTGGCTTTGAGTGCTGGAAGATGAGCTGAAAGACCCACTCAGTCAATGTCCTGGTTATTCTTGGGCAAGTCTCACTCTTTCAGCCTCACAGGGTTGTTATGCAGGGGAAATTAAGTTGGGGACTGCGTACGTGGCCTCACATCTTTCGGATTAAGCAATGAAAAAAATAAAGAAAGCAATACAACCATTTTTCTTCTTGTGATAAGAAGCATCCTGCAGAAGAGTGAAGCTTCTTCTGCAGAAGCCAGAAGCGTGTGCTCTTCCATCTTGCTCACCTGCCCAAGCGGATGGCCAGGCTGCCTCCAAGGTGAGCCCCAAAGAGCCCTCCCAGGGAGAAAATGGAAGCAATGGTGGACCAGAGGAGGGTCAGCATGCTGGAACTGAGCTCTGCCTGGTAACGCCTCTGCCAGGTGTCATTGAGGAACTTGTGGATGTGCTGGAAGGACAAAGTGGAGAGATCATTTAGCGCTGCTGCTGCTCCTCTTCTCCAGGGGCAGCAAGCCCTTCTGCCTCTTTGCCTTGAGACCCAGACCCAGCGCATGGTGGCTGGTTGGCCTGATCCCAGGCAGGAATTAATTGGGCCAGGAAAGTGGGACCTCGTGGGGGAGCAGCATCCCCTTTACACAGCCATCTCCTTGCAGCCTGACATGGAGTTATCCAGGGCTTGGCCCATCTAATCCAAAGCCTCCCACCTTGACCAGAAGCATCTCTTTCCTTGCCCAGCTACACAACAGCCTTCTTGTAGCAAATGCCGCAGGAGAGAGAGAGAGAGCAAGCCAGGGCCTGGTGAATGCAGAGTTTACTTGAGGGCTTGCTCCCCGCCCCCAGGTGCCTCTCGGCAATTCAGTCCATGGACCTTGAACTCTTACAAGGACCATATGATGTTCACCTCACATTTGTGAGGAACTGGTACCTGTGCTTTGAGGCTCCTTGTGTCTTCATATGAGGCAAAAACCCAGCTAAAAAATTGCTCAAGCAAACCTGGCAAGACTAGTTGTGTTCACTTGTTTTTAAATTTTGCTTATTTTATTTGTATATTGATAATTGCTTGTATTGTTTTCATGTATACTGCTTAGGCTTTTAAAAAGTAGTTTATAAATTCTTCTAAATAAATTGGCAGGTGCTTAGGGGTTTTGTGGTCCTCGCCCCCTCCCACCCTCTAACTTATGGCTGTCACCGATGGAAGCGAAGGCCCAGAAAAAGCTCAATATGGAGGCCAAATGGCCGAAATATTGGGAAATTCTGGAACAAGAGGGAGATAAATTGAAATTGCAGAGCTTTGAAAAATTAAAAAACAAAGTGTGAGACTGGCTTCACTATTATCAAATAATGGAGGCATACAATTTGGATAAGAAAATTGGCTTCTAGGTGGAAAAATCAAAACTGGAAACAGAACTGTTAGAACCTAAAGTTAAGAATTTGTCAAGAATGTATAACTTGCTGCTGAAATGGAATACTCAAGATGAAACAGTGAAATCTGTTATGATTAAATGGGCACAAGATGTTGGACATAACATTATGATGGCTGACTGGGAACAGTTATGGACCACAGGTATGAAGTTTACGGCATGTAATGCCTTAAGAGAGAATATTATGAAAATGATATACAGGTGGTACATGACCCCAGTCAAGCTTGCAAAAATTTACCATTTGCCCGATAATAAATGTTGGAAATGCAAAGAAACTGAAGGTACATTTTTTCACCTTTGGTGGACGTGCCCAAGGATTAAGGCTTTCTGGGACATGATCTATAATGAAATGAAAAAGGTATTTAAATATACCTTCCTGAAGAAACCAGAGGCCTTTCTCCTGGGCATAGTCGGCCAATTAGTGCTAAAGAAGGATAGAATTTTCTTTATGTATGCCACAACAGCAGCAAGAATTCTTATTGCAAAGTACTGGAAGACACAAGATCTACCCACCCTGGAAGAATGGCAGATGAAGGTGATGGACTATATGGAACTGGCAGAAATGACTGGCAGAATCCGAGACCAGGGAGCAGAGTTGGTGGAAGAAGATTGGAAGAAATTTAAAGACTATTTACAGAAATACTGTAAAATTAATGAATGTTAGAATGATGTCAGAATGAAGTTAAGTGGTTTTAGCAGCAATGTTACAAAGGAGTATGTAAAAATGGATTGTTAACAGGTGAGAATTTAAAGTTACAATATATTAAGTTAAAGGATTAGGATAAAAACAAAGAGGGAAAGGATTCGCTGAATTAGCTAACTGAACTGGAATACAAAAAAGGGAGGTGTGAGGAGGTCAGGGAAACAAGTAAATGAAAGAAGTGTTTTTACTTTTCTGTATTTTGTATTTTTTCTTTTCTTTTTTTCTTTTTCTTTTTTCCCCCTATTTTTGTAACCTTTTTTGAAACTTTAATAAATATCATTTAAAAAAACAACTAACTTATGGACTTGGGCAGGCTGTGGGGCATCTTGTTAGTTTGAAAAGGAGATTTACAGTGTGAGGTAGAAACCTTGCAGGGAGGTGCACCCTAACAGCAAGAAGCAGGAAGTAGCAGCAGGAGTCAGGACATGGTAATGCTTACATTTGTTGGTGAACAACTGATCAGTGACTTGGCAGAGCCGCTAGGACTTGCTAGGGCAATCACACCCAGTGCTCCATTCACTGAGCCACTGCCACTCTTCAAGGCTGTGGGCACCTTGCCTCTGCCCCTCTCTATGCAGAGAGAGGTGGCTCTGTTTCCATGGCAACAGCTGCCTAACCCTCTTATTGAAGGACAGTCATATCCCCATTGCCAGGCCACCATGAAAGCAGAGAGGCTGGTGAGAGGGAAAGTGGGGAGATGTGGGGCTTGGCTTTCCCAGATTCACAGGGCCAGCAGGGGGCCCCCGGTGCCGATTCCTGACAATGTCCCCAACTGTGCTCCCCTCCCCCCGCCACCACCACTACACACAGGCACTGGTTGTCCTCTAAGAGATGCTTCATTGTCTCACTCAAGAGTTTGGAAGGGGGGAATCCCTCTTTCTGAATGCTGGGTCATGGTGAGACGAAGGGCAGGCCACTTTCTCTTCAACAGACCAAAATATACCGGCATCCTCTGAACTCTGCTATCCGTGCAGCCCCAGGCTCTCAATCCATGAGACATCAGCCTGTTTGTCTCACTCTTTTTTCAGTCTCGTGCTTTTATCTCTCCATGGTTACTTTGTTTTAATTATTTTTAAAATGCATGAAATGTTTTGGTAAATCAAGATTGCACTCTTTAATCAGAAAGGGAATCAGCTGATGATGGGCGCGGGCAGCCGCCTGCCTCCCTCCAGACTTGCTCAGTTTTACGATCTATAGCCTTACTGTCGATTTATGACAGCACAATGGAGCCATCACCAGCTCTTGGCCAGTCTCCCCATCCTCAGGGGCAATTGGGGCGAGGCAGGACTGGAAGGAGGAGATTCTTCTGGTTGGCCCTTGTGGCCTCCTGCCCAATGATGGCAGCCAAAGTAGCCCTGAGGGAAGGGAGAGGGACAAAGCCCCCCTGTATCTGGGGAGGGCAAGCGGCCCCCGTTCCTTGACACAAATCTGGGGTGGAGTGTTCACTTAGTTTGGACTGCATGAGTCATCTGCATGATGCAGATATTTGAACGATGGTGCGTCCTGCCGACAACCTGACAGCTTTTTATTTATCCTCATGGCTTGATAAGAAGTGTTTCTGGGGAAGAGGTTTACGAAAGCAACAGGCAACTTTGCTCCAAGCCTTTGATAGGTCAGAGCATAGTGTAGAGTAACCCTCCCATCTCCAGCAATAGAAAAGAGATAAAAACAGCATCTCACCTCGGTGGGTGCATTGATGACTGAAACATTGTACCCATATTGGAAGGTGCCTCCGATTCCTGCCGCACAAACAGCCAAAAGGAGCGTCCAAGTCGGGAGCTAGAGAAAGAAGCCAGAGACCCTCATGGTCCAGAGAGTCATGATACTTGAAACAGACAGGAGCCTTCCCCCACAACCTCTCATCCCAAGAGCCTTCCTTCAGAGAATGGGATCTCTCACTTTTGCAGATTATAACTGACATCTAAGCAGCCTTTGCCAAGCTCTGCAGATGTTATGGATTAGCAGTCCTATCAGCCCCAGCCAACCAACATGGCTGTATGATGCTGAGGCGGATGACAGTGGCAGTCCAAAATATCTGGAGGGCAACAGGTTGGGGATGGCTTCCCTCAGGTCCAGGGGGCAGGCATTTTATGCCACCCTCCTCTCCAGCAGAGAGGCTGCCGCAGAGGTGGGCTGATGCGGGACTACCTGTAACACCCACAGTTCTGAACTAAGGGAGAAGTGGATTTGTACTCACACTGGAGTCAAGCATAATAAATGTGAACAGATGGTTTATAAAGTGAATCAAGCAATTAATTAAGAAGCATACCAATGAATTAACAACAAACACAAGCAAGCACCATTGATTGCATGGCACAGTGGCAGCAATTGGGCACCCGCTGAACAGCAGGTCTGGCATTGCCCTTTGGCCTGTGGGTTTCTGCTCCTTGTGCTGCCTCTGCTTCCAGGTGCCCCATCCAGCTGTCTTCTTCTCTTCCTCTTGCATTTTAAAGCAGAGGCAGGATAGCTCAGTCTTAATCTCAGGTTGTGGGTTTGAGTCCCCCGTTGGCATGGGTATAGCCAATGGGGGGGCAGGGGGCAGCTAACCCCCCCCCAGATCAAGTAAAACAATAGAAAGTCCTGCCTCCCCCAACAAAAATCCTGGCTACTCCCATGCCCATTGGACAAAACATTCCTGCATTGCAGGGGGTTGGGCTAGATGACCCTCGTGGGTCATCTAGCAACAAAAAAGGCTTTTATGGGTATGTTCGTAGCAAAAGGAAGAACAAAGAAACAGTGGGGTCACTCAGAGGAGAAGATGGTGAAATGCAAACAGGGGACACAGAAAGGGCTGAACTCCTCAATGCCTTCTTTGCCGATAAAGAAAACAATGCCCGACCTGAAGAATTTGGAGCAAATGATTCAGCAAAGGAAACACAGCCCAGAATAACTAAGGAGATAGTACAAGAATACTTGGCTAGTTTAGATGTATTTAAGTCTCCAGGGCCAGATGAACTGCATCCAAGAGTATTAAAAGAACTGGCAGATGTGATCTCAGAACCACTGGCAGTCATCTTTGAGAATTCCTGGAGAACAGGCGAAGTCCCGGCAGACTGGAGGAGGGCAAATGTTGTCCCTATTTTCAAAAAGGGGAAAGAGAGGACCCAAATAATTACCGCCCAGTCAGTCTGACATCAATACCAGGGAAGATTCTGGAGCAGATCATTAAGCAAACAGTCTGTGAGCACCTAGGAAGGAATGCTGTGATCACCATTAGTCAGCATGGATTTCTGAAAAATAAGTCATGTCAGACTAACCTGATCTCGTTTTTTTGACAGAATTACAAGCCTGGTAGATGAAGGGAATGCAGTGGATGTAGCCTACCTTGATTTCAGCAAGGCATTCGACAAGGTGCCCCATGATATTCTTGTAAAGAAGCTGGTAAAATGCGGTCTTGACTATGCTACCACTCAGTGGATTTGTAACTGGCTGACTGACCGAACCCAAAGGGTGCTCATCAATGGTTCCTCTTCATCCTGGAGAAGAGTGACTAGTGGGGTGCCACAGGGTTCTGTCTTGGGCCCGGTCTTATTCAACATCTTTATCAATGATTTGGATGATGGACTCAAGGGCATCCTGATCAAATTTGCAGATGACACCAAACTGGGAGGGGTGGCTAACACCCCAGAGGACAGGATCACACTTCAAAACGACCTTGACAGATTAGAGAACTGGGCCAAAACAAACAAGATGAATTTTAACAGGGAGAAATGTAAAGTATTGCACTTGGGCAAAAATAATGAGAGGCGCAAATACAAGATGGGTGACACCTGGCTTGAGATCAGTACATGTGAAAAGGATCTAGGAGCCTTGGTTGACCACAAACTTGACATGAGCCAACAGTGTGACGCGACAGCTAAAAAAGCCAATGCAATTCTGGGCTGCATCAATAGGAGTATAGCATCTAGATCAAGGGAAGTAATAGTGCCACTGTATTCTGCTCTGGTCAGACCTCACCTGGAGTACTGTGTCCAGTTCTGGGCACCACAGTTCAAGAAGGACACTGACAAACTGGAACGTGTCCAGAGGAGGGCAACCAAAATGGTCAAAGGCCTGGAAACGATGCCTTATGAGGAACGGCTAAGGGAGCTGGGCATGTTTAGCCTGGAGAAGAGGAGGTTAAGGGGTGATATGATAGCCATGTTCAAATATATAAAAGGATGTCACATAGAGGAGGGAGAAAGGTTGTTTTCTTCTGCTCCAGAGAAGCGGACACAGAGCAATGGATCCAAACTACAAGAAGATTCCACCTAAACATTAGGAAGAACTTCCTGACAGTAAGAGCTGTTCGACAGTGGAATTTGCTGCCAAGGAGTGTGGTGGAGTCTCCTTCTTTGGAGGTCTTTAAGCAGAGGCTTGACGACCATATGTCAGGAGTGCTCTGATGGTGTTTCCTGCTTGGCAGGGGGTTGGACTCGATGGCCCTTGTGGTCTCTTCCAACTCTATGATTCTATGATTCTAGGATCCCTCCCTGAGCACATCTCACTCTTGCCCATCAGAGCTCTCCTCTTTGTGAGTTTGCATTCTTGCTTTGTGAATTTAAAAAAGTGGCAGGCAACAATTTCTAGCAAAAAATGGAAAACGAGGAGAGCAGGCAAGTTTGGGGGTGGCTCATGAGGTTTGAGCCTGCTGCAGAACAGTGTTTGCTGAGTGGCCCAACTGTTCAAAGCGAGCTTTGCCGGGTGACACCTCATTTGACCCACAGAACTGCTGCCCTGTTTGATGGAGGAATCCTGCTCCACCAGGCAGCAGAGGCAGGAGCTGTTTGACATCTGTCCCCACTTGGAAACCTGCCCATTGGCCTCCCGCCTTGGTCCTCAAGTAGGAATAGCCTCTTTGCCAGGTAATCCCTTGGCATGTGACCCAGGCTGATCAAGTCTGGCTTGAGCACACAGGAATGCACACACACAAAACTACCACCCCAACACCAAAGTTACTGGCTACATCATGACTCACTCTGGACTTTCTGAATCGTGAGGAAATCAAAGCCCCAAACTGGAAAACAAACAAACCCTTTCCCACTGCTCACTATAGTTCTCTGGGGCTGCTGGGTTTCTTGACTTTGCCTTTGTCCTGGGGGAGGGGGCAAGGTGGAAAGGATTTCCTTGGGACACAACCGCCAGTGCCTCGTTGTTTCCCTTTTGTCCTAGACTGGGCGGTGGGCGGGCCTTGGCTTCACCTCGAGGCTGGCAGACAAGGAGATGACCAAGCACTCGGGCAACAAGCTGTGTGTGCACAGCAGGGCAGCCACACAGGAGAACCATCCCCATCACTGCTGAGAGCCTCGTGACTTCCTGCTTGTGATGCTGATGTGGATGGATTATCTGAGGAATTAATCACTTGACAGGATGAGGAGCTGTCATTCATTATGCTCTTAGCTTTTCGCATTCCTGCTTCCTTTCCTTACTCCTGGCATGCCACAACATTAAACTGACCCACCTTGAGACAAGCAAATGGGGGCTGAGGGATGGGAGAGGTGTCTGTTCAGGGACATGGATGCTCCAGCACAGTTGGTTAGACTCTTCACCCAAAACAGAGTTCAGTGCAGTCACTTGGGCCATCAGTCTCTTGCCAACAGCAGCAAGTATCAGAGCTCAACACATGCCTTCGCCAAAGCTGAAATGATGGTGAAGCAGTAGCTGCAGCCATACGCCCCCTGGAAGCCATTCCAGACTCTGACCCCACCCCCATTTATTACTTACAGAATTAAACTCCGCTTTTATTTCTCTGTTCTGCACCCTGAGAGAGAGAGGACAATTCTCTACACGAGTCACCAATATATAAATATTTGCTCACTCACTGACAGTGGTGTCAAAATGGTTGAAGTGCAGTGGGTAGAAAATTGAAATTTAACAATCAAAACAAATCCCCCCTCAGGTACCTACCATCAACTGCCCTGTACGAAAGATGCTGTTGACTTTATTTATTTATTTATCTGTCGAATTTATTGCCAGCCTTCATCAACAGGTAGCTGCACAGCTTGCAACAACATTACAATCACTGGAAATCATTTACAATCGGAATAATAGGGTGGGTCCTGAAATATATATTTCACAGGTATCAAAGGCCAGGATGAAGCGGTGACTCTTCAGCATAGGGTGGGAGCCGAATGACAAAGGTGCCAGATGCCCCTTCTCTGTGGGGAAGGAGGGATGTCACAGCTTGGGAGCTGACACAGCTAGTGCCACCAGAGCTATCAAGAGCACAGAACTATCAAGAGTCAATCTGAACACCCAAGATGGTCTCTAAGGGTATTTGGGGGCTTTTAAGAAGGTAGTGTAATCTTACCTGCAAGCCTCTCTAGAAGAATTTGTATCCTAAAAGGCTGGGTAGATAGATAGTCAGGCAGATACTTCTCAAATTCATGCTGCAATTTCCATTATCAGCTGCCTCATGAAAGTATTCACACAACCCACCATCTGTTTGTTAGAAGGGATCTCCTCTAAAATCAGGGTATGCAAATCTGCATCCTCATTTCAGTTGCCTCTACAACACACACACATTCCCTCCTGCATTACGAGACTCAATACTTCTGCCTTTTCCCTGAAACCTAAGCCCACGGCCGCCTTGTCGCCTGTGACTCTGCAAGCTTGCTTACCTTGCTAGGCTGTCCAGCACCTTTCAGCAGCGGCTGGTGCTCCATTCTCCACACCTGGCAGGTGGCCTTCTCACCAAGGTGGCTGAGCTACAGCAGGAGGAGGCTGAGAGGTGCTACTGTTGGGGTGGCAAAGTGCTGTTGCAGCAGACCCCAGAGCCTTCATGCCAAGGTACTCCAGACTCGGCTGTCTATGGAGTTTTATGGGCTGGGACTCATCACAGCCTGCCAGCGAGTCAAAGCATTTCGGGGGTCACCCCACAAAGAACTTTTTCACCAACTGTGAAAAGTCCATTCGTTTTGGTTGCTCAGGGAAACATGCACATTAGTGACTAGTTTGTTGTGGGCCCCCATTTGTCCGTGAAGAGAGAGATATAAAGAAGCAAACAGAGAGCTGGGAGGAGACAATTACCTTGTGATTTTCCCTCATTCCTCCCTTGGACCTCGAGCCTCTGGCAGGACACTTGGAGCAGTCCATGGAGTATGGAGCAATGCGCAGAGCTGATGAAGCATCCAAGGGCCCTTCTCTCGCATCTCAGCTCTTCCACCTAGAGGCCCCTTGAAGCGCCAATAAGAAAGACTGAGCCCCTCACCTGACTGGCGTTCACATGTTGCTGGCTCAAAAAATTAAGCTGGCTTTAAAATGCAAACTCCGTCTGGTGGGGAGGGAGGGCTCCCAGCTGAGTGCTGCTTACACAATGCGAGAGAAGAGACCTGGGAAGAAATGGGGCTGTCTGAATCCCTTGGTGTCTCCAGGCTTCACGTCTGCCTGGAAAGAGCGGGTCACAGTCCAGAGCTTTTCAAACTAGCCCCCTTTGGGCAGAATTCTGTCGGAGATGCAGCAAAAGCCTCCAGAATATGGAGCTGGCGACACCAAAGTGGATGCAGAAAAAGAGCCAAAGGAAAGATGGCCGCAGCCAGCCAGAGACCCAGGTGGATAGGCTGGCAAAGGAATCCGGTCACTGGGAGAAGAGGCAGACAAACCCAAGGAGCTGCTTCCCAGAATGTGCAGGGGGTCCAAGGCCAGCAAGGAGAAAAGAGGATGTCAGTAGAGATAGCCCAGGGAGGGAGGTGAGAGGAGAAACCTGGAGTTTCTGTGGTCCCTCACCTGAGACCCTCCCCTGCAGATCCCTGCATCTCGAGCCTCAGCCAAAGGAACAGGGGCAAGCCAAGGTCATTCCTTTCTGACCAGCTAGCAACCCTTTAGGCCAGGCATAGGCAAACTCTGCCCTCCAGATGTTTTAGGACTACAACTCCCATCATCCCTGACCACTGGTCCTGTTAGCTAGGGATGATGGGAGTTGTAGTCCCAAAACATCTGGAGGGCCGAGTTTGCCTGTGCCTGCTTTAGGCACTCAGGGTAGGGTGTTGTGTGAAGAAAAGCACCCCAACTCTTGGAATGTAAAGGTATTTAAGGCCAAAGTAGCCCCCAAACTCCTCTATGGCATCCCATTATGGACTGGTGCAGTTAACCAGTCGTTGGAATGCAGCCAATCCAAATTCTTGCACTAAATCCTGCCAAATTGTGTGCCACATGCAGCTATGTGTCTGGAAACTGGATGAGCTGCTGGAAACCAAAGCGTGGCTCACCACTATAAAGTACTGACTCCGCCTACATTCCATGCCCGATTCCTCCTCTTTAACTTTCCACATACTGGCAGAATCCCACCACTCTGAATGGCTAGCTTGCATTGAGAGCAAAATCAGAACCTGTGGCCTATCACTCAAGTCACTGCTTATGTTCCCACAATTGGAAGCATTCTAAACAATCAAGCACAGAATCCTAGATATTTAATTCCAAACCCTTAGCAGCGTAGCCAGTAAAACCTGTTTCCCATTAGGGCTGAGAATTCCACCCTCATTTGGCCAGGACACTCCATATTTACATCAGCTTTATGATCCCCACCTAGGTAGAGCTCTTTCACTTGCAAGATTTAACGTCTTACCATATGCAGTTTTGCAAGGTAGATTTTTAAAAAACCCATCCTATAAGAGATACTGCCCTTGTGGCACAAAACAGGTTGAATCCATCACATACATTTTCTTTTATTGCCCATTTTATGCAAAAAATATATGAAAAGTAGAAGAAGGGGATTTATCGCTTTGACTCTTCCAGGATGTCTTATCTGTTGAACAATTGTGTCGCCCCAGCTTCTTCAGAGGAGAAAAAAACTTAATAAGTTTGTAATAAGGTTGTAATAAGACCAAACCTTAACACTACAGAATACAGAATGCCACACAGGAACAATGAGATAAAAGGAAAAAGTGAGACCCAGGCTCCTCCTGGTCTGACTTTAATAGTCAGCACAACCTTGACAGAAAGATAACAGAACTAGTTTAAACCAGCTGTACTCAGCTTCCCAGAAGAAATAACCCAAACAATAACCTTCTGCCTGTTTCTTTCACATAGAAAGAAAACTTTCCAGAACACTCTTGAATTAAGTAGAACATGAAAAATCTCTACACATAAATCAACACTTTCTTTACTAAGAAATGCAGACTGACAAATTATAGGAATGACGTTGTGGAGAATGTGCCAAGATTTTTGAATGAAACCATGAAATTACGTCACTATAGGTCCTAAGAGCCATTTTCATACCTCACGGTGTCTGGACAGTTTTATCCTAAAGTATCTCCTACTATGTTCTGTTAACAGTGTTGTGTTCTGATGCATGTAAATGATGCACGTATTCTATGCCAATATAGGAGACTAATTGATTGAAATGGATTTGTTGCACCAGGACAATGGGGCACTTTAATCCACTTTAATTGCACAAACCTAAATTTCCAGTGTGCCCTCAAACCTATCCCATAAAATACAACCCTGGAGGTGACCAGAGATTTTTGGCTTGACTTTAAGCCTTTCCCACTGGCTTCCCCTGGTGAAGGGCTGCTGCTGCCACCACTTCATGGTACCTGGGATTTAAGTGCAGCTGCAACTGGGGAGTGGTGTGTCATGATCCTTCTCATTTAGGCTTTCATGCCAAAACGGGAGGTGATTTTCTCCTGAGTTTGTAAGCATTTTTAAAATTACTCTGTTAGTACCAATGTAGATGAAGTCTGTGATTATACCCCTATTGCATGGAGCAGGTTTGCAAGAATGTGCTTTAAGAGCAGAGAGAATGTGGGCTATGCCAGTCCTGCAAAACAGCCTCCTGTTGTTAGCCCCATTTTGCTGAAGGGAGGCGGGAAGAAGTGAAGACAACCCTGAAGAATAGCTGGATGTTGTTAGCCTAGCACCGGTATTTCTTTTCTTTCTTTCTTTTTTTGGGGAAAAAGAGGGGCGAGGGGGCTGTAAAGTTGACTGCAGCAGCAGAGTGGAAGTCAGGTGGACAGCAGGTTTGGTTGCAATCCGTCTGTCTCAAGAGACAATGGAGTGTGCCTCCAGGGGTGAAGTCAAACCACAGGGGAATCACAGTGCCTGCTGTGGCTGCAGAGACCGGTCACTTGTAACTGTTGCCATTCTGCATTGTTTTTTGCTGTGTTAGCAGCACCAAAGTGACCTCTCTGGGCAAGCCTGGGCAGAGTGGGGGGGGCGGGGGTGTCACGGGCTGTGCAGATGACAACACCCCCATCTCGGCCTCGCAGGTGTGGGGCCAGTCAAAGCCATTTCGCAGGGTGTGGCCACTGTCCCATGCTGGCCACTGCTGCAAAGAGTTTTGCAGGCTCAGGTTGAAGAGTCAAGCAAAGTACATAGCCAGGATATAGAAGCAAAACAGCAGCCAAGAGGCCTGATCTTTATTGTTGCAACAATGACTCCAAACTACAACATAAAAGATGCAGAGAGAAGCCCCAAACAAAGGGCGTCACTTTCTTTTAAAGGTTTTCCCAAATTACCCATAACACCACATTGAAATCGTCACACATATATCACAAGCATGTCATAAACTAGGAGTGGCATCTTGGCTGAAAACTGATGCCTTGTCAGTCAGGGATATTTAGCATTCCTGGCACTGGTTAAGGCAAAAGGTGATGCCCGCAATCTCTGACATCCAGGCCAAGTCCAAAATCCCCCTTTGTCTGAGTCTGGAAGGTGAGACCTAGCACCTATTGGGTATGGGCAGGGTTTGCAGGGAGTACGTGACCATTCCCCTTGGGGATTATGGCTCCCCCAGGCCTGACCTCCCTCCTCTGGTCGCCATCCTTTCCCTGAGCAAAACACCATTGGAATGATGAAAATCCATCACAGATGTGATTTTATATTGAATTTTTTTACTGTAGAAAATGAGAGCACGGCTCTACTGGGTACAAAGTAACAAGGCTGGATACAATGTTGCAAGTCAGTTCCCCGCTTTCCCTGACTCCGCGGGTTCCCCGGCGAGGATGCCTGGTTAACACCTGCAGTACCGGGGGCCTCGTTAGGGGGCGCTGCCTGGCAAGCCGCCGTCAAAATAAGAGAGGCCTCGCGATCCCTTCGTCTCCCGGCGGCGCTTACACAGGGAAAGGGGGGGAAATGGGTCGTGTGTTTCTTACTGACGTTTCCGGCGGCACCACTTCCAGGAGCCGAGGCCGGGCGGAAGGGGCTTCCCGGAAGGGCGGCGCCCCGCCTCCCCGACGGAACTACCGCTCCCGGCATGCCCAGGGCGCCGCCGCCGCCTGCCATTCCCGGCGTCCTCCGGGAGCGGAAGCGGAAGAGCGGAAGCAGCGGCGCGGGCGGCCCCTCAGAGGACGAGCAGGCCCCGCGCGAACCCGCCCGCGCGAACCCGCGCCTGCGCTCCCCGGCGCGCCATGGCGGCCCTGCAGGGGGCCTTTCCGGGGGAGGAGCCGCGCCCCCGCCGGCCCAGCTCCTGCCCCTCCGGCCCGCGGCGGGGAGCGCCATGGAGGGGCTGGGGGCCCGCCGGGCCGGCCTCTGCGCGCCGCCGCCGCCGCCGCCCAGGATCCGCGCACGGTAGGCGGGCGGGCGGGCGGGGGGCGGGGGTGGTGGTCCGGGCCTGGGCGCCTGGCGGCTCCCGCTGAGCGCAGCCTTCTCTCCCCCGCAGGCCGCCCGCCCAGCGCCGCCGCCGCAGCAGCCAGAAGCGCCGCCTGGACGGGGAGCCCGACGGGTAAGCGCCGGCCGGCCGGCGGGGAAGTGGGGAGGGGGCGCGGCGGGGAGCGGCCCCCGGGAGCCCCGTCTAAGCTGCGCCATTCCTTCGCCAGCTGCCCGGAGGCCAAGAAGAGGCTGGCGGAGGCGGTGCCTGCCTTGGGAGAGTGGCTCCTTGTCGCGGGCCAGCCGTGCGGCCCGGGACTCTCTCCGCAGGGCCAGAGTCACCTGCCTGGTCCGCTGGACGTTCCCTGGGAAGAGATGGAGCAGTCGGCGGGGGAGCTGCAGTGCGAGGCGGCCCGCAGGAAGCTGCAGGAGATCGAGGACAGGTAGGGGCCGAGACAGTTCAACTCAGGAGGGGGAAGGTGCCTCCTTTTGCAACCCCCTGGACTGGATTTGCTGCTGCTGGCCTGGTGTTTGCTTGTTTTTTGTTTTCGCACTGGTATTTTCTCTACTTTGGCTGAAAGTGAGTAGGTGCAGAGGTGAATAGGTGAGATTGATAGACCTCATCTTCTCCTCCCCCACCCCATCAATGATTCCATCAGAAATTGCCCAAACACTTCCAAGGTTGCCTTCACAGCAGTGTTGGAAACTTTGAAGTATAAGCTAATTGCCAAGCAGCGCCTTAAACTTGCAGTTGCCGCAACGGAATGTCTAGCTGCTTTTTCTTTTTTTGTGGTGACATTATTATTATTTTTTTCATTTCATTTCTATACAGCTTTATATTTGAAAGAAAAAAATTCATATCCCTCCCTTTCTGTTGCTAGAATAATTGACGAGGATGAAGAAGATGAGAGCGCCCTTCCAGCAGGAGGTGTCTGCACCCTTCCCACCTTGGTTCTTTCTGACACCCTGAAAACAGGACTGAAGAGGGATTACGAAGGAGACCTGACAAGGCAAATGATCGAGTCCATGTAAGGAGCTGCCAGAGCGAAGCCTGGCTCATGGTGGTGCTTGGGAGGGGGCCGCACAGTCCACTGAACTAACAATGCATTTGCCAGTTTCACACACACCCTGCCCAGGGCCATAGCAAGGCAGGCTGTGACAGGATCTTCCTGCCTGGCTTGAGGAGGAGGTTGTTGAAGGGACTAAAAATAGGCAACTGTGGGGATGAACTCCAGAGCAGCAGTAACACTGCAGGGCTTTGGCTAGGGGTTGATGCAGCAGGATTCTCTGTTGTGATTCCTGTGCTCTCATCCACGCAGGAGCCGCCCCTCCATGGAGCTGGTGCTTTGGAAGCCTCTCCCAGAGTTCTTCACTGAAAGGACGCCTGTTTCTGTGAAAAACTTCAAGCCACTGATCACAGGAAGATGCCCCACGAAGCCAGCAGCCCAGGAAGCTGCCTTTTGCCCACAGACGGCAGAGTTTCCTGAGCAGCCTCAGCAAGAGGAGATGCCTTCGGCCCTCTATGGCCCCCTGGGGCGCCCTGCAGGTGCAGACGAAGAGATGGAGTTGTAGGCAAAGAAGAAGGGGCTGAGGCAGAGTTCTCCAGACATGCTGAGGCTGGACTTTTCGGGGGAGGGGACTGTGAGGACCATAAAGAGTCTAGGGTGGAATAGTAACATGTCTGGAACATGGAGCAGAAGACGCTTTCAGAGTCCTTGTAAAGAAACGTGATGGGTAGGGTTCGTATTTTTCCTTTTGGGTGTGACTTTTTTCTTCCCTTTTCATGGAGTAAAAGTCAGGAGCTGACAGTGTAGTAGTTCTGGCTCAGACCGCCCTCAATGCCCACTGAGCTACAAGTGTTGTTCTGTTTGGAACTTCAGTGGAGGATTTTCACCTGTTTTAAAAGGAGAGTCTCAATCTTGAGTGTTTGGTTGCCTGCGTTCGCTTTCACTGCTGCTCCTTGAGCCGTGTGGCTTAAGCGTTGCTGTGAGGAAAGGGCACCTTGCAGGCATCCTTGCCGGCTCAAGTGTGGCCTAGAAATTGTCAAGAGGTGGGGTGGGATAGAGGCCAAGCCACAGAGCTGGCTGCAGGCCTTAGCTTTGAGTCAAGAGTCATTTCTGTTGACTGACTCCTGCTTACTCTCCCCTTCCTCCCAAAGATTGCTCCATTGGGTTGAGGGAGTCAGGACACAGTTGATGGCTTTGGGCCAACCATTCCCAAAACCAATGTCATACAAGTATCAGCCTGCCCAAAACAGCAGCTTTAACGTTCATTTCACCTTGTGCCTGAATCTGAGCCATGGCTGGTGCTGCCAGTCCTCCAGTGACAACTGTCTGAATGCCATAGAACACAAAGTTGCTTTCCTCTGGAACGATACCTCGTGTCTTTATTCAGAAAAGCCATTTCCTGGCTGCCAGGAAGCTACAAAATGGTCCTTTCCTAAATCTAGAATTACGAGGAAGGGCAACATCAGCAAAACATCCTCACCTGAAAGACTTTAAAACCACACTCATTTTCCCCTGTTCTTGCTTCATTTCCTGGATGGTCACTTGAGTTTATGTATATGTCCTTTTTGTTGGTGTTTTTTTTTTATTTTTATTAATCCTCCCTGCCCACACTCTTCTTCAAAACGTTAGAACAATTGTACCTAAACATTTACATCTTAATTCAGAGTGGAAACCCTGTGCATCCACCCCCCAGTCTTGTTAAGACTAAACTGTCACCTGCAGCCAGCAGGGCTAGTGGTCAAGAGATTGGAGATGTAGCCTGGCAACAACTGGTGGGCCAAAGAAGTATGAGAAAAGCATTTATCCCATTGTTATTTTCCTTTTTGGTAGTCCTCTACATGCAAGCAGAAGTGGCTTTTAAACTGCCCAAGTTTCAGAGGATGGAGGGAAGGACACCAAGCGGTTAGAACCTGCTGGTCCCCACTCTGGTAGCATGTGGAAGGGCCTCCACAGCTGATGTGAGAAGACGGTGAAGGCAAATGTCTCGCTCTGGCATTGGGTCTTCCATTGGTGGTTCTTTTTCAGATGTTGCAGTTACCATTCATGCTGGCTAAATGCTGTTTAATGAAGACTACTTCTGTTGGTGGAAGGATAAAATAAGTATATAAAGAAAGAATTCCTGAATGCCAGGATCCAGGTTTGGGGCAAGTACTCCATGGTGAGGACACAAGCAAAGTGGGAATACAGACCTTTAGAATATGCCCTTGTGTATTCTAAAGGACAACACATTTGGTAAGCTTAAAATTGTCTAAAACTGTCCAAAGGTCAGATTCATGTGCTTTTCCGTACAGCAACAGCACTCAGAAAGTTGCATAGGCTGTAAAACTTGGCTTACTTACAAAGTGGTGAAAGTTCCTAAATTATTGGTATAATTTGTTATTGGGAGGTTTGTTAGAGCCATGCGGCTAAGCTGGAACACATGCTGAGCTTTTCAGGGGGCGGGGCGGGGCGGACAAAGACTTGATTATCTAGTCTCTCAAGGTGAGCTAAGCCTGGCAGGGCAGCTTTTGTAAGCATGTTGGTTATGAGGCTGCTTATCCCACAAATACCGGTGAGAGAAGGGGAATTCTTCTGATTCCAGAAGTAAATAGATCCAGATCACTTTAATTTATTTTCCAATTCATTTTTGTCATTGAGACCTGTCTCGGCTTCCTCACAGGAAGACAGTGCCACACAAGTATAGCTCAGAGGGGGAGTTCTCTGAGTGTTTGCTGGTCCGTCCGTTTGAAATAAGCAACATTGGATAGTGGTCTGTCTTTGGTTGGACCAATTTGTATGTTAATAAACTTTTTTAACGTTTGTAGTATGCTGTGGGATGGTGTTGCTGTTTTGACCACTGAAGAGGTGGTGGAACAGTTGCAAGTTTCTACTGGCCCCTGGTGATGCTGCATTGGCTAGCTGCCATGAAAAGCTCCTTTGGACTTTTTAGTTCAGCCTTTGCCCCTCCAGAAGGCCCTGAAAAATATACACCACCGAGCACTCGCAACCTACTGAAGTGATCAAACCATCTCCCTGAACAAGCTGTGTTGCAAATCAGCAAGTGACATTGTGTCGCTAAAGCAATAAAAGCACCTGCAGTTGCTGTGTAAGGTGGAGCAGGTCTCTTGCATCTCAAGCACTAACAGCGGCCTAAATGGGACCCCCCCCCAAAAAAAAACCCTGCCTTGAGGGACACATTACCACACTGCACTTTCAGTGTTTTGGCAACTATTTATCTGGCTCTCCCCTTACAACTTCTAGTGGCACCCTTGGATTTTGAGTCTTTCATGTCCACAGTTTTTAGCCTATGATCCCTTAAAGTGTTGTGACTTAGTACTTGTAGTAATCTGTATTTCTGTGTCAGCTGAAATGAAGCTGCAGGTCAATGCAAGAGCTAATGGAAAGGCACCATGTACTGTGCCTCATTACATAACATGGACTTGTTTTGTGCCTACCTGCTGCTTGTTTGACAGGATTGCTGGGGCAGCCCAGTCAGATGGGTGACATCAAGTTCTGCTGTTATGAGATGTACACCTCTGAGAAATATCGAGCAGGGAAGTTGCTGGAAACCACTTCAACAAAAAAGGCATACACCGCTTCTGCTTGGCTCTTTCAGAACAATATGGGGAGTTCTTGGGCTTTCACAGCTGCTGCTTTCATGCAACTGCTATTTTTATCAGCCAGAAGTTTTTGTCCAGTTTACTAAGCCCTCCTCCAAATCAGAAAGGTGGGCCTATTTTCTTGCTTCCTGGTCTGGATCAAAAGCAGTTTCACAGCATTTAATAGTACAGTGGTACCTTGGTTCTCAAACTGAATCCATTCCGGAAGTCTGTTCCAAAACCAAAGTGTCCAAAACCAAGACACACTTTCCCATAAAAAGTAATGCAAAATGGATTACAGTGGTACCTCTGGATGTGAACGGGATCCGTTCTTGAGGCCTGTTCACAACATGAAAGGAACACAACCCACAGCGGTGCATCTGCACACGCACGTGTTGCAATTCGCCACTTCACATGACGTCATTTTGCACGTCGGCCCATGTGCGAGTGGCGAAACCCGGAAGCAACCCTTTCCGGTACTTCCAGGTTTCTGCGGGACGTAACATGAAGTGGACGTAACATGAGGTATGACTGTAATCCGTTCCAGACAATTAAAAACAATCCCTAAAACAGCAATTTAACATGAATTTTACTATCTGACGAGACCATTGATCCACAAAATGACAGCAATAGACCAGGCTGCAATTTACTACCAAGTATAAATAACTAGCACTGATCTACCAATTGCCATTGAAGGGACAAGTGTGCGGGGCTGATGCTGCAGTGCTGCCGTCGCCACCCCCCCTGGCGCTGGGTCCCTCTGCTGCCTTTGTCAGTGCAGCATCAGCCATCCCCTCACCGCTTCCGCAAGCAACCAACAGAAGTGTGGAACTCAAAATGGAAGTGCACCCCCCGCACGGAGTACGTTCGGATTCCAAAAAAAGTCTGATAACCGGAACACATACTGGCTCAATTCTGATACCTTGTTCCTTTCAAGATCTTAATGTGAATGAAAAGGAATGGTGCAAAGCTAGTGACTGTTCTTTATGTAGCAATGCCATACTTTCTGTTCTGACTGCCCAAATAATAATAATCTTTCTTCAAACCCTAAACCACCTTATTGCCAGCAATTGTGCAATACTGTCTATAGGAAAAGTATTTTACAGGTTTAATAGGGTGGGGAAGGCAGGCAAGAAATCACTTCCATATTTTTTTTAATTGCAGATAGTTGTTTAAATATGCAGCGGAGGAAAAATAATTATTACACTTTTTTGTTTTACAAAATATTTCTATCCCAAATTGCCCCATTATTTACATAAATGAAAAGGGGAAAACCCACCCACCCCTCATAGGGCAATGTCTTACTCAAAGAGCACAGGTGCCCACTTCTAACCCTGTAAAATGTCAATTTCTTAGATCGCCTCATCTCTGCATTAGGCAAATGTTGGGTAGATAAAACATACAAATGAGAACAATACTTAAGGTTCTGCTGAAACACTTTCAAGAGGAATGTTCTTTATAAGTAGCCCTGCTCTCCTTTTGGCTGTGAGGGCAGGGGCTCACTGGGGGAGTCAGAGACTCTTTTACACACTGATCAGCTGCGGAAAAAGTTCATTGGCAAAGGCCTCCTCCCAGCCATACTCTGCGTCCAATGGAGAGGACAGGTCACTGAAAGGGGAAGGGGAGCCCTCGTAACCTGAATCACTGGAAGCATCTAGCAGACAGGGGGTGAGCTGAGGCTTCTGGTCTGAGGTGAGCAGGTGGGAGACGCCCAGCTCAGGTAAGAGAACATTGACAGGCTCCTCCTTGACAGAGATGGGGTACTCCAGGGGGATGCTTTCAGAGGAGGGAGGAACAACTTCCTCTATTCTCACTAGCATATTGGCTTGGCCCTCCCCCTCCGCCACAATCTCCAGGAAGAAGGGTTTGGTATACTCATGGTCAAACCGTATCAGTTCATTAATGGCCTCCAGCTTGGGTGTTGTGGACCCCAGAGAGGAACTGGGGGAGGCTGGTAAGGAATCTGCTTCTCCACTCGCTTCTTGGTGCAACTTCTCCACACAGGCTGGTTCTGCACTTCCTCCATAGTGCAGGAACAAGTCTGGATCCAAGCTGTCCAGAATGCCCAAGAGGAGATCAGACTGCAAAAGGAATAAGTCCTCTCATTAGCACAAAAAACATCCCATTCCAAGATGTCCCAGTCAGCTCCCCAGCTCCTAACAACCCGCCTAACCCGTTGGTGAAAGTAAGGTGGCTAGCCGTTGCTGTGAGAATGTGAGGAAATCAAGGCCGTTCTTTGTGGGATGAAGCCCAGTCTGAGCTCTGCTCTACGAACCCAAAGGGGTCCACGTTCCATCTGCATTTGTGCACAGCAGGCCAGAAAGGGTTGCAACAGAACTCACCTCAGAATCTGAAGAATCAGAGTTGTCTGGATCCAAGCGGAGGCCACCACCACCAAGGCGAGCGGCTGCTGGGCCTGTCCCTGCTGCAGAGGAACACGTAGTCTAAGTGCTGCAGACTCAGCGGACCCGGCCGTTGCCCCAGTGGTGCTGCCCCTCTCGGGCTGCTCCCCCTCATCTTCTTCCAGCATCTCCACCTTTGAGGGGGAAGGAGAGAGAGAGACTCAGGTGAGCGCTCGAGTTCAGGGAGACAGGTGGGGCCTCTTGGAGCTGCTCTCTTACCTTGAGCGCTACTGCCGTCGGTGCTGCCCCTCCTTCTGCTCCTGCTCCTGCGGGCGGTGCCGCCGCCGCCGCCGCCGCCGCCTCCAGAGCGGGGAGCCCGAGGCGCAGGCGCAGCTCCCGGTTCTCCCGCGCCAGGCTGTGCGTCCGCTCGCGAAGCGCCTGATTCTCGGCCAGCAGCTTCTGGTTCTGCGGGGAGGAGAGAGGCGGCGCTGAGCGGCGGGAAGCGGCCCCGGGAGCCCTCTCCGGCCCGCGCTGCCCTCCCTGGCCCACCTACCTCCGCCTCCAGCTCGACGGCCTGCCGCTCCAGCTCGCCCATGCGCGCCTTCTTGCGGTCCCGCGCGCTCTGCGCCGCCACGCGGTTCTTCAGCTTCCTGCGGAGAGAGGCTGTCAGCGGCCAGGCCCGTCTCCGGAGCCCCCTTCCCGCCCGCCCGCCCGCCCGCCCGCCTTCCCTGCTCCCCTCACCGGCGCAGCGCCTTCTCCTCGGGGCTGAGGTGCGCCAGGCGCTGCCTCTTGCGCGGCGGCGGAGACGAGGCCGCGCCGGGGGCGGGCGGCGCGGCTGCCGAGGAGGCGGCGGCGGCGGCCGCCGGCAAGAGCAGCAGCCGCGCGTGGGGAGGCGGAGGCCCGCTTGCGGGGACCGGCAGGGGGACCATGATGGCGGCGGCGGCGGTGGCGGCTCGTTCCTCCTCCTCCACCTCTCGGCGCGGCGGCTCCTCTCGGCTCGCTCTCGCTCCGGCGGACTGGCTCGCCAACAGAGCCTTCCGCATAGCTAACGTCGTGGCTCGCGCTCATTGGTCAGCGTGCGGCGCCGCCGCCGCCTCCGGGAGAGCGCTCATTGGGCAGCGGGCGGTTGCGTCAGCCGGAGGAACGCGCTGCGCATGCTCCCTCTTCTCGCCCTTCCCCCCAGCAGCGCCACGTTGGCCGCCCTCGCGCGCAGCCGCAGAAGCAACGCGGAGGGTGGACGTCTCCTGCGCAGCCGCCTCTGTCCGCGCCGCTCGCTGGGCTCTGCCCCGAGGCGCCTGCAGGAGCTGCCGGTGGTTGAGGCCGCCGCGGCCCCCCTCGCCCAGCGCCCGGGCGGAAGAGCCTCGCTCGCAGCCTTCGCTGCCTCTGGCCTTGTCGCTTCATGGTCTGACCCGGGAGGAGAGCTTCGCTTCCTCGGCCCCCACCCTTCCAGCTTCCAGGGTTATGGAACACTTTACACTGTCTCTCCTCTTGGCTCCAAAGTAAAAGTTCCCGATGCTGCCGGCGTCCTTCACACAGGAGTTGTTCCGTCGCTTCTCCTGGGAGAAGCCCTTCTCGAGGCAGCAGGCGAGCCTGGGCCCAGACCCAGGGGCCTTGTGGAGATGGGTAGCGCTTACGAGGTGGGCCCTCCCATGAAACATGAAACAGGGCAAGTAAAGCATTTAAAATTTCTCCAAGCAGAGCCATTGGATTTATTTTTTAATTTTATTTATTACATTTGTATACCACCCTTCATCTGAAGATCACAGGACGATTTACAACATAATACAGACACACACCCGACGTGTGCATTCCGCTTGCGCATGACCATGTATACATATGGTGCTGGGAAATAATAAATAAATAGAATCATACCAGGAAATGGCGGAGGAGAGCTAGAGATTCCTCATGGGTCGCAAGGAGACCCTCCCCAGAGCCCGAATAGGATGTCAGTGAGGGTGGAGAAAGCCCAGAAGAGACCGGAGGTGCAGCAGGGCTTTGAGGAGGCTGCTCAGCCCTCTCCTCCCCCACCTAACAGCTGACTTGCAGGGTAGTGCAGCAGCAGCAGCTACCATTTTCCCATGAATCCTGTGGCCTTCTGCCGGCCCCAGAGCTTCAACTCTAGATATTTTGGTCTGGATTGGAGAGAGCAGAAGAGAGAGCTGGACAGTAGTTTAAAAAAAAAAAGAAAGACATTTAGTGGCTTTTTAGATGGAGCTCCCCAATTTACGTGATTTCACTTATGCACATGGAGGGCTGGCTGATAGGACAACTGCAATTCCCCAGGTTGGAGGAGGGGCTGGCACATGGCACAGTCACTACCTTCCTGCGCCATGTGTGCCCCTTTCCCAGCCTGCCCCCCAACATACCTTTCCCTACCTTTGTAAGGCATAAAGGCAGATGCAGCCACCAGCTCCTATGGTGGCATTTCAAATGAGTTTCTGTTTTGTGGGTGGGATTCAACTGAATGCCGGCAAATTCAGGTTACTCTTGCACAACAAAATCAGCCTTCTTTGCAACACATAAAGTGATCCCTGGACAGTGTGGAATAATGACTACTTGTTGTGGCATCACCATATAACTTCCTCACAGACAACTTGGAATGAGTGCTCAATAAACAGCCTATGTTGTGATATAATCTCCCCACAAACTTTGTGCAAGAAAATCAGATGGAATGCTCAATAAACTGGCTGTCTAGATGTGATGATGATGGTACAGTACCCACGAAAGCAAATATGGATCCTCCTGGGAGCATTTGGGGCTGAAGCGCCTAATAAGTGAGCAGCCACAATCCCATAGGTTTTCAGCAGCTGCTGGCCAAAAGAAACTGGGCACATTTAAAAACATAACAAAACTGAGTGACAGTTTCAGTAAGAAGAGACTCAGTTCAGCCTGGACCGCTCCCTCCCTCCCACAGTATGTTGCAGAGTCATTAGCATCCTGTCTCACTTTGTCTGAGACACAGCTTGCATCAGGATTCTTCCTGGGCTGCAGAAAGTCAAGTCTTGGAAATAGTAGTCATTGGGAGCCTGGCCACATGTCCCAAAGGGAATAGTTTCTTGGCAAGCCCTTGGAGCAGCAATTGCCAGGGAAGGCCCATTCTTCAGAGTTCAGCTTTCCCTCTTCACAGGAAGCGCCCACCAGGCAGGTCACATCCAGAAAGGACCTCACAGCAGTCAGCTGTGTGTGCCTGCCCTTGAGCATTTTGGACAGGAATGATTCTTCCTGCCCCTGCTGAAGGACTGGCCCACTGCTGCCCTAGAGTCCCCAGCCAATAGTAAAGTCTTCTCTCTGTGGTGGACCCAGCCTCATCTTCTTCAAGGTTTGTAGCAAAAAAACTCCGCATTGCTACTGCCATGTCTGAACTGCACCTACCATCAGGCACTTCTGTGAAGGATATAAAATATCAGTGATGAGCTGCTTATTCCATTAAGGGTCACTTCCCATCTTCCAGTACAGTGGTACCTCTTACAAACTTAATTTGTTCTGGAGGCCTGTTCTTAACCTGAAACTGTTCTTAACCTGAGGTACCACTTTAGCTAATGGGGCCTCCCGCTGCCGCTGTTCCAATGGCACACAATTTCTGTTCTCATCCTGAGGTAAAGTTCTTAACCCGAGGTACTACTTCCAGGTTAGCGGAGTCTGTAACCCGAAGTGTTTATAACCTGAGGTACCATTGTACTTGGAGCATCTCCACCATGCCAACATTGCTACCATTATACTCCTTAAATAGGTTGCTACTGCTATCAGTTATTGAAGGAAACTGCCTTCTTTCTTTCTAGCCTCAGAGGTGCATTAGATTTGGCCATTCCGATTTGGCCATTTTGTGTCTATCAGGCCTCTGGGGAAGAAGGCTGAGGGTCTGAGCTGACAGGCACTCCTTCTCTGCTGCCTCAGGCTGGCTGTGCTCCAAAGGCAGCTGGTTGAACCGGCTATCATGGGAAACTGCCTTACAGATCTTGGCAGTCTCCCTTCCCGTAAGCTGCTGCTTATTTGCATATCCTGGTTTGGAGCAGGAATTCCTTCCTGTAACTACCTGTGAAGTCCGGGTGCTGCTCACCTCTCTCTTGTTGAGGGAAGAGCTGGGGTGGAGAACAAACAAAAGCCACTTGCTGATCCAAAGCCTGCCTGCCTTTCTTATGCTGCCCAGATTGTCCTTGCCTTGAAGCAACTGACCTACCTCCCCAGCCCAGGGGAGAAGAGGAAAAGCCATGCAAGGCAGGCAGGCAGATGGTCCTCTCATTGGAGTAATCAGGCCTAGGCGCCTTTTCAGGGTCCAGCTCCACACGGGTCTTTGGGAGATTTCATTTGCATATGGACACATGGGCTTGAGCGGGCTACTTTTGCCACTCTTTTTCTGAACAGGCTGTTGCCAAGCCAGTCATGCGGCTGTTCTCAACTCTACAGCATAACTTCCAAAACTAGAGCATTGGAAGCCAAAGAAGACTGTTTCTCCGCCACCCACCTGAATTCCACAATGTCTGACTGAGGCTTCTGAGGGAAAGACTCTTTGCGAATGCCCAGGGGAATTATATTATGTAAAGGGAGAAGGCAAAGGTGAGCCCTGCCTTGAGCCTTTCTTGTGCTGGGATGTGAGTAGCATGGCGCCCAACACTGCCAGTCTCGTCCTTGGCTTCCTCTACCTTCAAAGATCAGCCGTGGGCAGCCACAAACCCAAGCCAGCTGATAGTCCATGCCCTGGAGCACAGCAGCAGCCTCCTGGGGTTCAGGTTGGCTTTACAGTGGTACCTCAGGTTAAGTACTTAATTTGTTCCGGAGGTTCGTACTTAGCCTGAAGCTGTTCTTAACCTGAAGCACCACTTTAGCTAATGGGGCCTCCTGCTGCTGCCGTGCCACTGGAGCATGATTTCTGTTCTCATCCTGAAGCAAAGTTCTTAACCTGAAGCACTATTTCTGGGTTAGCAGAGTCTGTAACCTGAAGCATATGTAACCTGAAGCGTATGTAACCCGAGGTATATTGTTCTTATCTCATTAACATAAGAAGCAGAGCAGCTTGCAATAAAAAAGAAAACACAAGAAGAACAATAGCACAGCATAATATGAAAGTACTAAATCAAAAAGGGGGGAGTGGCTTTGCCTCCAGCCTGTGAATCCAGAGAGCTGGCAGCAGTGGCGGCAAGGGGCTGGAGAGGCAGGGATGAGCTATGCCTGGCACTGCCTTAGCCCTGGCCCTATGGACCCCCAGGGTGCCCTTTAGGGCACTTATGCGGCAGGTGGCGGCGGCAGCAGCAGTGAGGCTGTGTGGGCGGTTGTGCCACTTGCATTCCCAGCAGCAGCCCTTTTCCCAGCACTGAGAGCAGCTGGCATGTGCTTTTCTGAGAAGTCCTGGCCCACATGGCAGGTTTTGCCCTTATGCACATCAGGGAGGGAACAGTCGCTGCCAGTTATCTGAGGAGATGCTTCTTAGAGGTTTCCCTGAACCAGCTGGGAACATCCCTCCTTCTCTGCATGTTGGGAAATCCTCAGCCCCTGCATCATAAGAACAGCAGGCACTGCTGTCCTGTCCGTGGGCTTCCCTGAGGCATCTGGTTAAATGAAAGAAAACATGAAGCCCCGCTGGCTTAAAGCAAGGTACTAGCTCCTAAGCCAGCATCTGTCTGTCACAGTGGTAGCCAACCACACCCCTAAGGGAAGCCCACAAGCAGCCCATGGCTGCCCTAGTCTTCTGCTACTGCTGTTCTGCAGTGCAAGTATTCAGAGATATGCTGGTCATATGCAGCTGTCTGCCACAACCCCAAGATAGTGGGAGAACTTGGGGTCTAAAATTTCAGCAGCAGCCTGTGTGACAACAAAATTTGGTGCCCCTCTGCCTCTCAAACTCCATTCTAAATAATAGTTGTGGTGCCCACAACAGCACCTGCAAGGCGCTACACCCAGTGCAACTGAAATCCGCCTCTGCCCAAGATCCCTTTCCCCCTCTGACCTCCTCTCCAATGGCCTTGTATCAAAACACTTTCAAATACTGAATCCCTTCTATGTACACCAGCACAAATGGGAACAAGAAAGTTTCGTTTGTAAAAATAAT